TTCCTGCTGATCCTTTCTTCCCCCCTTCCTTGCTCCTTCTCCCCCCCTCCGCAGTTCTGCGGGGCCGGCACAAGGATCGACGACGGCCAGCGGCGTGCGGAGCCAGCCGCCGCTGCCGTACCGCTGCTATTCGCCAGTACGGCCCCCACACGCATCCATTTCGCCTAGCGAATGAAGGTGAGTTTCACACGGCTACAACGTCTCACACGCGTGCCTGCCCTGTTGGTTGTTCTGCACCCACAACTACCTCCAACTATCTCCAATAGTTTTGCCCAAGCAGCCGGCCTAGTGGGCATGCCGCATGCATCGCCTGGCCACCGGTGCATGTGGCGTGTCTATTAGGCCGGCTGCGTCGGGACGGCATGTTGCTCTGAGGGCCCGTTGCATGGGGCTGGAGTGTCTCCGGCTAGCTCGCTGCCTGCTTCTAAATGTGCATTGCCTTTGTGTCCCATCCGTTCTCTCATCGCCACCAACCCATTCCCTCCCCCCCCTCCTTGCCCCCCCCCTCGATCTCCGCATGAGCCTCCGATCCTGGCTCCTGCGCTTCGTCCGAGTATATCCTCGGCATCAGACCCTTGCGGCGAACGCCAGCAGTACCAGAGTCACAACGAACGGTACGGCCTGCTGCTTACAGTTGCCCTTGACGCCGCTGTAGAATAACTCGATATAGTCCCCTTTCCTCTCAAGTTGGTGCTGATCCAAATCATTCATTTGCTTTCTGTGCAGGCGCGACGCAAGATGTGCGACGGCGAGCATGTCCCAAGGGTAAAACACTCCGCGTACCGGTAAGTTGGGATTGGCTGCGTAGATGTGCAAAGATCCTTTCTCCCCCCCTTCCTTGCTCCTTCTCCCCCCCTCCGCAGTTCTGCGGGGCCAGCACAAGGATCGGCGACGGCCTCCGACGCAGGACCAGGGCGCCAGCGGCGCACGGACATCGTTGGGGCCCCTCCAAGGCATGGGCGGAGCAGGTAAGTGTGCACAACCCCGCGCTTGGAAGGTAGGCCCTGGCGTGTCAGGGATCATGTGCATGCATGTGGGGGCATTTACCTGCATCGTACTAGGCATGTTGCCTGGGCATTGAGCATTCATTGGAGGGCCTACCGGTGGCGGGCTCGCACCTGCTTTTCCTGCTGATCCTTTCTTCCCCCCTTCCTTGCTCCTTCTCCCCCCCTCCGCAGTTCTGCGGGGCCGGCACAAGGATCGACGACGGCCAGCGGCGTGCGGAGCCAGCCGCCGCTGCCGTACCGCTGCTATTCGCCAGTACGGCCCCCACACGCATCCATTTCGCCTAGCGAATGAAGGTGAGTTTCACACGGCTACAACGTCTCACACGCGTGCCTGCCCTGTTGGTTGTTCTGCACCCACAACTACCTCCAACTATCTCCAATAGTTTTGCCCAAGCAGCCGGCCTAGTGGGCATGCCGCATGCATCGCCTGGCCACCGGTGCATGTGGCGTGTCTATTAGGCCGGCTGCGTCGGGACGGCATGTTGCTCTGAGGGCCCGTTGCATGGGGCTGGAGTGTCTCCGGCTAGCTCGCTGCCTGCTTCTAAATGTGCATTGCCTTTGTGTCCCATCCGTTCTCTCATCGCCACCAACCCATTCCCTCCCCCCCCCTCCTTGCCCCCCCCTCGATCTCCGCATGAGCCTCCGATCCTGGCTCCTGCGCTTCGTCCGAGTATATCCTCGGCATCAGACCCTTGCGGCGAACGCCAGCAGTACCAGAGTCACAACGAACGGTACGGCCTGCTGCTTACAGTTGCCCTTGACGCCGCTGTAGAATAACTCGATATAGTCCCCTTTCAAGTTGGTGCTGATCCAAATCATTCATTTGCTTTCTGTGCAGGCGCGACGCAAGATGTGCTACGGCGAGCATGTCCCAAGGGTAAAACAGGCATGTTGCATGGGCATTGAGCATTCATTGGAGGGCCTACCGGTGGCGGGCTCGCACCTGCTTTTCCTGCTGATCCTTTCTTCCCCCCTTCCTTGCTCCTTCTCCCCCCCTCCGCAGTTCTGCGGGGCCGGCACAAGGATTGGCGACGGCCTCCGACGCAGGAGCAGGGCGCCAGCGGCGCACGGACATCGTTGGGCCCCTCCAAGGCATGGGCGGAGCAGGTAAGTGTGTACAACCCCGCGCTTGGAAGGTAGGCCCTGGCGTGTCAGGGATCATGTGCATGCATGTGGGGGCATTTAGCTGCATCGTACTAGGCATGTTGCCTGGGCATTGAGCATTCATTGGAGGGCCTACCGGTGGCGGGCTCGCACCTGCTTTTCCTGCTGATCCTTTCTTCCCCCCTTCCTTGCTCCTTCTCCCCCCCTCCGCAGTTCTGCGGGGCCGGCACAAGGATCGACGACGGCCAGCGGCGTGCGGAGCCAGCCGCCGCTGCCGTACCGCTGCTATTCGCCAGTACGGCCCCCACACGCATCCATTTCGCCTAGCGAATAAAGGTGAGTTTCACACGGCTACAACGTCTCACACGCGTGCCTGCCCTGTTGGTTGTTCTGCACCCACAACTACCTCCAACTATCTCCAATAGTTTTGCCCAAGCAGCCGGCCTAGTGGGCATGCCGCATGCATCGCCTGGCCACCGGTGCATGTGGCGTGTCTATTAGGCCGGCTGCGTCGGGACGGCATGTTGCTCTGAGGGCCCGTTGCATGGGGCTGGAGTGTCTCCGGCTAGCTCGCTGCCTGCTTCTAAATGTGCATTGCCTTTGTGTCCCATCCGTTCTCTCATCGCCACCAACCCATTCCCTCCCCCCCCCTCCTTGCCCCCCCCCTCGATCTCCGCATGAGCCTCCGATCCTGGCTCCTGCGCTTCGTCCGAGTATATCCTCGGCATCAGACCCTTGCGGCGAACGCCAGCAGTACCAGAGTCACAACGAACGGTACGGCCTGCTGCTTACAGTTGCCCTTGACGCCGCTGTAGAATAACTCGATATAGTCCCCTTTCCTCTCAAGTTGGTGCTGATCCAAATCATTCATTTGCTTTCTGTGCAGGCGCGACGCAAGATGTGCGACGGCGAGCATGTCCCAAGGGTAAAACACTCCGCGTACCGGTAAGTTGGGATTGGCTGCGTAGATGTGCAAAGATCCTTTCTCCCCCCCTTCCTTGCTCCTTCTCCCCCCCTCCGCAGTTCTGCGGGGCCAGCACAAGGATCGGCGACGGCCTCCGACGCAGGAGCAGGGCGCCAGCGGCGCACGGACATCGTTGGGGCCCCTCCAAGGCATGGGCGGAGCAGGTAAGTGTGCACAACCCCGCGCTTGGAAGGTAGGCCCTGGCGTGTCAGGGATCATGTGCATGCATGTGGGGGCATTTAGCTGCATCGTACTAGGCATGTTGCCTGGGCATTGAGCATTCATTGGAGGGCCTACCGGTGGCGGGCTCGCACCTGCTTTTCCTGCTGATCCTTTCTTCCCCCCTTCCTTGCTCCTTCTCCCCCCCTCCGCAGTTCTGCGGGGCCGGCACAAGGATCGACGACGGCCAGCGGCGTGCGGAGCCAGCCGCCGCTGCCGTACCGCTGCTATTCGCCAGTACGGCCCCCACACGCATCCATTTCGCCTAGCGAATAAAGGTGAGTTTCACACGGCTACAACGTCTCACACGCGTGCCTGCCCTGTTGGTTGTTCTGCACCCACAACTACCTCCAACTATCTCCAATAGTTTTGCCCAAGCAGCCGGCCTAGTGGGCATGCCGCATGCATCGCCTGGCCACCGGTGCATGTGGCGTGTCTATTAGGCCGGCTGCGTCGGGACGGCATGTTGCTCTGAGGGCCCGTTGCATGGGGCTGGAGTGTCTCCGGCTAGCTCGCTGCCTGCTTCTAAATGTGCATTGCCTTTGTGTCCCATCCGTTCTCTCATCGCCACCAACCCATTCCCTCCCCCCCCTCCTTGCCCCCCCCTCGATCTCCGCATGAGCCTCCGATCCTGGCTCCTGCGCTTCGTCCGAGTATATCCTCGGCATCAGACCCTTGCGGCGAACGCCAGCAGTACCAGAGTCACAACGAACGGTACGGCCTGCTGCTTACAGTTGCCCTTGACGCCGCTGTAGAATAACTCGATATAGTCCCCTTTCCTCTCAAGTTGGTGCTGATCCAAATCATTCATTTGCTTTCTGTGCAGGCGCGACGCAAGATGTGCGACGGCGAGCATGTCCCAAGGGTAAAACACTCCGCGTACCGGTAAGTTGGGATTGGCTGCGTAGATGTGCAAAGATCCTTTCTCCCCCCCCTTCCTTGCTCCTTCTCCCCCCCTCCGCAGTTCTGCGGGGCCAGCACAAGGATCGGCGACGGCCTCCGACGCAGGAGCAGGGCGCCCCTGTTCTCACCTAGTGGTCGTATGAGTGTGGTGTCATTCCTGGTGAAGCCCACGTGGCTCTCCGCCCTGTTATGGTTCTTAGAAACCTCGGCTATACAGGGTTTATGTGTGGTGAAGAGCAGTAGAACGTTCGAAGACATCATTTTGAAGACGTAACCTGGATCTGCTCAGAAGATCCGCCATGTAGTACGGTTTGTGGTACGACACGTTTTTAAGATAACTACCGCTCGAATCTGGAGATCTCCCGGCTCCGTTAGCCATAAGTGTTTGGAGCTGTTGTTCGTTATCTGGGGTTGTTGCTTGAATAGACCGTTCCTTCAAGTCGCCCATGTGGTGTGGAGTTCTGTATTCTTTTGGGATGTGGCATCGCAATCAGCAGGTCGCTTTGCAAGCTTCAATTGCCGAATACCGGTACAGTTGCATGATAAAAAATATCTTTTGGCACTAATGATTCCTGTCCGTACAGTTGCTTTCTAAGTATAGCGTGATATGATTCCGCAAGATCGTTCGCAATAAAATACCCCATATGAGGGCCCGACCCACGGGTCAGTTGCCTAAACCCATGTAACCAGCTGGAAAGCTTTACGCACGGGTCCGCTTCTCTGAAGGGCGTCATGGCAAAATCTGACAACGCTTTATCGAAGCGCTGGGTAGCACGATAAGCATAGAAGGGAAACGGCAAGAGGTCCAGTTAAAGTACATCCAAACACAATTTCTCATTGCAGCGGGCATAAGCCGTACAGCCTGCATAAAGGCGTGTACGACACAAGAGATCCCTGCGTCAATCACAGTTGCCAACTCATCTCTTAGACGAAGTGATTACGCACGTTGGCACACTCGAAACGCAATAATGCGAGAGTGCACAATACATTTTTGCACACGACGGAGGCCACACGCCCCCTCCCACCCGTTAGGTACCAGTCGTGCGGTACCGCAGTTCTAATTGGCATTGCACCACATTGTCGCACGTCTCGGTGCTTCCGAAGCCTTTCGTGCACAGACGCTGTGCCCCATGCATAGCAAATCACAAGTCACAAAGCCACGGTCACAAAGCCCCTGCGTCAACATGTAAAGTGGGCACGGGGCTGCTTGCCAGACAGCCCTACCCCCAGCATAACGCATTCCATTGGTAGCTTTGCCGCAAACACAAACCCACACACCACTTTTGTGACGCGCGAAGAGCTGGCACGACTTGCCAAGCATAGCTGAGTAGGAGTAAAGGGTAGTAAGATCAGCCATATGATACCTTTGTTACTTAATTAGGCATTGCATAACCCTTAGCAATATACACTGTAAGTATCAGTCGACACATCACACCGCATAGCACCATGCCAAACAGACAGGCCGAACGCTGTGACACATCGCTTTTGCCTGGGTGTAGCAGCTGCCTCACCCATGCAAGGAAGACGGCCTCAGCCAGATCCCATCCTGTCCCAGCAAAGCTCTATTCCAGGTGTATCTGCGCTTGAACACCAACGCATGCGGCATTGCTTGCTTAGGCAGGCCGACAGGCAGGCAGGAACTGGCCATCCTAAGACCCTCCTAACCGGGTGGACAGGAGTGTTGCTGCCCCGCCCCGCCCCGCCCCCCTACGCCGGTGAGGTGGCCACCTCCCCCGCCAGCGTCATCATGCCCATGGAGTTGTAGCGGTTGTTGACCACATCCCGGGAGTCCTGAAGCAGCAGCCAGCAGGTGAGGAGGGAGGAGGCGGCCGTGTGATAAGGCGTCGTCGTGGTTTGCAACATGTGAGCCAGCCCGACCCGCCCAGCACCAGTGGGGTGGAGGGGCAGCAGCAGGTCGGTGGGCACCGCCGGTTGGGGTCGGGAAGGTACATGTGGTTATGGACATCGAGTGTCGTAAGCTCAAACGACGATCACAAAGGTCTGTGAAACCAGGAGCCGATCGAGGGATACTCCGTCATGACGGGCGTCCCGCCTGTCCCCCACCTCCCTGCCCCCCGCCATTGCCATCCCTCATGCCCCAGCTCCTCCGGGTGAGCACACCTCCCCTCCCCTCCCCACCCCACCTTGATGATGATGGTGGTGCAGGAGGCGCGGGTGCTCAGGTCGTGGCTCACCGAGCCCAGCTTCTTGCGACTGGGGGGAGGGGAGGGGGGAGGAGCGGGGGTGAGGAAGGAACAGTCCCAACATGGGAGGAGCAGGGAGGTCAGAGGTGTATTGGCGAAGTCAAGAACTAGGAAGGACGGCGGGGTGAAGTCTTGGAGTTTGCGTCGGGATGCGTAGCCCTAACGCGGTAGGCCCGCGCCACATATTGCCCATTAGAAGCCCCTGCACTCCGCCAACCGACTCCTCACCGCATCCCTCCGCCCGCCCCCGCCCCCGCTCACCCATACAGCTGGTTCCTGTCTTCCTCTTCCCCCGCCCCCGCCCCCTCCCCCGCTCACCCGTATCCCGAGATGCCCACCACCAGCACGTCGCACCCGTACTCCGCCACCGCGTCCACGATCCCCTCCGGCACCGTGCTGACCAACCGGTCGATACACTTGACGTGCGTCTCGCCGTTCAGCTGGGGGAAAAGTGGAAAGGGAAGAGGAAAGGGAGGGGGTATGTATGGGGGATTGGTGGTGGTGGCAGGGCAGCGAAGGAGGCGATACCCAGCAGCAACAAGCCCCCCCGAATGGCCTCGACCCCGCTGGCCCCCATCCCTCCCACCTTGCGCTTGCGGATGTAGTCCCGGTACTGCTCCAGCGACTTGCGCTCCTCCACCCCGTCATTGGCGGTCACCATGACCACATGGACGGTGTCGGAGGGGCGGTACATGCTGCAGGGGGGGGAGGGGCGGAGGGGCAGGACGCAGGAGGCGGGGTTGAGGCTTGAAGCTGCTTGAAGGCTACAAAACATGGCAAGCAACATACATATGTGAAAACATCGGGAGCGGGATGTAAATGTTGTTGGGGGCATGTCTCCCAGCAGTCCCCCCCCCCTCCCACCCCGCCGACCCCCCCCCTCGCTTATTGATTGATGCTACTAACTATACAACAACTACAATTATATGCTATTCCTACTATCCAGCCTAATGCGGATTCTGGTTCCAAATTACCCCCTCACTTACTAGTTGACCAGGAAGCAGAAGGCCAGGTGCGCCGCGTGCGAGCAGTCCGTCGCGAAGAGGTACTTCGCGGGCCGCTGCACCACCCCCGTGCCGCCGCCCCCGCCGCCCGTGATGGCCCCGATGGAGGCGCCCGTGGAGCGCACGATGCAGATGGAGCAGTGCGACTGGCGCAGCGAGAAGTCCGACACGGTGCCCAGCATGTCACTGGAGGGAGGGGCGGGTGCGGGGGGTGCGGGGCAAGGGGTGCGAGTTTTGGGACCTAGAAGGAAGTAGCGGTGAACGCATGTGGCAACGGGACTAAAGGCGCATGTTGCGGTATGGCGACGACGTGTGCATGGCTCAGGAAGCAGGTTTCCATACTGCGGCTGAGGTACGACCCGTCTCCTCCGCGTGTGCCTTTTGGCGCCCTCATCACAGCCCTCTGACAGCTCCGGGACACTTGTCTCCCTCCCCGCCCCTCTTCCTCCCCCCGCCCGGCGCTCCTCCCTTCCCCGCTCACAGCTTCTCCCCCTTGCGCCCCCAGCTGCCCAGCACCAGCAGGTCCGCCCCCAGCTTGTCCGCCAGCCGCGTGAGGCACTCGCATGTGGAGCGGCCCTCCTCCTTCTCGCGACACAGCCACTCGGACTTGACCTGCGAGGGAGGGGGGCAGGGGATTGGGGGTGGGGGAGGGACCGTGCTGCTATCTGGGGTGCTGCGGCTGTTGCTGCTGCCGTAGCTGCGGTCCTAAGATAGGAAGGAGCGATGAGGGGATGTTACAAGGGCGAGCGGCACTGATCCTGCCTGTGCCACCTTGGAAAGGCAAACCAGCCAGCCAACCCGCTCACCCGCGCGCCGTGTGCCATGTCCACATAGTAGTTTTTGAGGTGGGCGGGTTGTAGGTGCTTAGAAAGGTACGTCTTCGTGGAGTCGCTTATGTGCAACACGGTAAACTTGTCACCTCTGAGGGATGGATGCACAGGAAGGGTTTCCCGGTTTTCGTATGATGATGAGCACGAACGACTGTTCGAAGGGGTATCATTGCTGTTGGGTATGGTATCGGCATGAAAGGACAGCTATGGTAAGGAAAGAGAGAACAGGGTTTCGAAGCACAGTGGCGTCAGACGGGAGGAATGGGAAATGTGCACACGCGCAGTCGTTGAACCTTCTCAAATATGGAAGGTTATGGATGATCCATCCTAAAACGTGAAGGCCCCCGATGCGCACCTGCGGTTGTTAAACAAGCACAACGCTGCGGCCATGGCACGGTCGGACATTTGTGAGCCATCGACGGCACAGCCAATCGACAAGGAGGGACCTTGCCGCTTCTTCACTTCCAAGTCTACAGCCTCCACAGCGCTAATCCCCATCGGGTTGTCGCTACCAGCCATTTCGCTCTAAGTTATCAATCAGCTAAGCTATAGGGCATCTCTTTTCCAGTTGTTATTCTTGTGTAAGAAAGCAACGTCGAAGTACGTTTGAGTTGTAATTGCTGCTTTTAACCCCGTCTTGTGGATTTAGGTGGGTTGCACCAACCAAGTTACTAGCTAGATGGTAACTGGCTTGACTTTGTGGAGTTAATCAAGGCAGTTTGCAACGACTTTGAAGACGCACGGCTCTGCCGTCTGCGTGATGCGACTAAACATACAGCTGTACGGCATTGCCCTCAAATTAGCAATACGCTGATGCGGGCGCGATAATGTCCTTCGCAAAAAAAACATTACTACGGAAAGCTCTAAAGTCTATGTAGTGGGAGCCGACTCCACTGACTCTAGACGCATACCTTTCCGGGCGGAACACAAGCCTTCCGTATAGGAACATCATGCTACGTGTATGGGGCAGCTTTGCCCGGCGGCTTGAGTCACTGCGTCCCTCTGGCGCCAACTTTCGTTCAGCATCGCGGCAGCATGACGAGGGCACAGAAGTCGCAGCAGCTGCAGTAGTATCGCGGACCGGTGGAGAAGCAACAACTTCATATGATCTTGCTGCTAATCGACAAGCGGGCTCGGAAGCGGCAGACTGGTGGCCCCTACAATCAGTCACCATCTGCTCGCCGCCAGCTCAACAGGATGATTCCCTCATGGCGTCTACTTCATCTCCGACGTCGTCTCCTTCGAAGTCGTCGCGGGGCCCTCTTCAGTTGTCAGCCGGCGGTGTAGCTTTTCCGCCACACCCGGGGATGCGTGCTCGGCAGCCTCCAAGCTGGATGACCGTTGCGATGGTCGGCAGCACCTCACAAGTCGCCTTTGAGGCCAGCGCCCTCCAGCAAAGCTCCATCCAACAGGTCCGCTGTGCAGCTTCCTCTTCCAAGGCCAAAAGCGCAGGCGGCCGCGGTGGTGCAGCGGCAGCGACCGAGGCCAAGCCGCCTCGCGTGAACACCCCCGAGTGGGCGCGCATGCCCGCACAATTGGAGGACCTCCAGGAGCTCTTCCGGCGGCGTAAGGCCCGCCTGTTCAAGATGCGCGACCAGCTGCAGGCAGAGGCTGCGGAGGCGGAGCGGGGCGGCTGGTCCAAGACGGCGCAGCGGGACGCCGCACTCGCGGCAGCAGCTGCGTTGCCAGTACCCCCGGCGGGTAAGGAAGGGGGAAAATGGGGGTCAGGCAGCGGGCGTCGCGCGCATGGGTTAAATGTCGCCTAGGCAAGCCAAGTGTCGGGCAAGGGAGGGCGCATTGCCTGTTGCATGCATGGACTAAGTTTCGCGTGGGGTCCTCCACTTCGCCGCTAACAACTCTCTAACCTTCCCCTCTCCACACGCATGTTGTTCAACCCCGGCTGCAGACGGTGGTGTTGCTGAGCTGGCTGCCGCCACCGCCGCCAGCACCCCCTTCGAGGCGGCGCTGGCCACCATGAGCGACATGCTGCGGAGGGGCGTCGTGCTAGGTGGGGGCTGCAGGGGGTTTATAGGGTGCCGTACGGAAGGGGGTGTGGGGAGCTGCACCTGTACACCCAACTGTGTGTAAGAGAGAAGGGGTTGCGGGATACGGCGCACATGATGGTACCTGCGAAAGGAAGGGCTACGGTAGCTGCAGCGTGCCTCACCCTTCCAGGCTTGCTCGGCAGCCTGCCACTGCATCCGTTCTCGCTGCGACTCGTCCAGTCTGCAGCGCAGCAGCATGCCACGGTTCGTCTTGCTGTTGCACTGTACTTCCGCATGTAGTTGTGACACGCCCCTCGCCGCTGTGGCCTCCCGCCCCCCCTCCCCCACCAGACTCCGAGTCCCACCTGGCCCCGCTGCTGCGCAAGGCGGGCAGCGAGGCCCAGCTGCAGGCGGGCCTGGAGGTGCTGCGGCGGAACCACCTGGTGCAGGCGGCAGCCAGGCTGGGGGCGCACGGGGCGGCGCAGGGGGGGCTGCATGCGGTGCTGGTGCAGGTGGGAGGGGGTGGAGGGGTGGGAGGCGGGGCGATATGGGTGGCAAACCATGTATGGGGTAGGCTGGGCAAGCATTACGTGCTAAAGGGCACTGAACATCAAGTCAGCTGCTTACGCTGCCCATGCATGTCTCATGTGTATTGCTACCACGCCGCACCCACACGCACGTCCATGCCCGGCACCCGTCTCATCTCCTCTTCCCTCTCCCGCGCACAGGAGTGCCAGCGGGTGGGCTCCGCGGCCCCGCTGGTGGCGCTGTGGGACTCGCTGTACGAGCACGGCATGGAGCCGGGCGCTGCGGCGGCGGTGGCGGCGGTGCGGGCCGCGGTGGCGCTGCGGGACGGCCGGGCCGCGGCCACGCTGCTGGCGCTGACGTGCCAGTACAGCGCTGAGCCGCTGGCGGCGGGGGAGGCCACCCCGGTGCTGGCGCTGCTGGAGTCGGGTGAGTTTTGGGTGGGGGGCGGGGGTACCTTGTAGGTTATAACCATGTCGGTATAGGACGAAGATTGAGGGTCGGTGGGCCAATACAAGACAGGGGCTCAAAACAGGGATACATTGGTGTGGCTGTGGGTTTGGGAACTGGGGCCAACCTTTTTGGGTTTGGTACGGTTACGGGCATGGGTGCTGCGGGCTTGTGTGGCAGCTTTGCTCAGAGGCATACATCTCAAGTTGATCCAGGGTGGGCCCATGTGGTTGCTGACCCGCCACCGTGGATTGACGGAACTGCCGCACCGCAGGCAACGCCGAGGAGGCTGCGACACTGCGGAACCTGCTGCCGCAGCTGGGCATTCGGATGTGAGCTAGTCCGCCAGCGCGAATGGAGAGGAGCTAGGAGGATGGTCGGGAGCTGGTCGCGGCGTGCTGCGGTGGAAAACATGTGTTTGGTTCGGGTGGGGTAGCGGCAGTAGCGGCAAGCATGGCTTGCCTGGTGCGGTCCACGGCTGGGGACGGGCTCTATTGAGCATGCAACGGTTTGTTTACGGGTTATGTGATGAGGTCAGGAGTCTCATGCGTGCGTGCGTCGAAGAAGGCCGTTGCTTAGTCGAGCCGTGGGGGCTTTGATTTGTGGCAAGGGAATCGCGTGAGTGAGGTGACGTGGCTGGCTGACGTAATGCGTGCGGTAAGCGGGAATTCCGGGGGAGAGGGTACATGCTTAGTACGGGTGTGCACGAGGGTGCACGCGTCAGGTACTTGTGGTACGCGCTGTGGTTATTCACGGCTCATGATCTTAGCCGTCCCCAAGTGCGAACGTTACGCCATGCCAAGCTTGTATTTGGCGGTGTAATCGTATTGACAAGGAGCAGTCGCCGCGGGCCCTTACCCACTATGCGCCTACAGACAGAGAAGTAGCCTAGGCTAATTGATTATTACGTGCCAACACGGTAAACGCTTTCGCGCGTGCACCTTATCGCCGCCACTAAATGTGTGTGTCGATGGTCTTTCTTCTCCCACAAACTGTGTCGTACGTCTGCAGCCAACAACAACCACCTCCATTTCACTTCACACTAATTTCTTGAAAAGACGATGTTCAATATAAGTTGAAAGCCATGTATGTGCAACTCGGTGAGGCTAGGTGAAGCCTACGATTTGCACACGCCTTGTCTCACGTGTTGTAGGTTTTAAGTGTACTGTGCAGCTTCTGTGCACGAAATACTTGCAGGAAGTACTTGGCCTTCCATAAAGACCTTCTGTTAACACCCATAACGATGGTCGACGGGCCAACCGCTGCTTAGTCTGCCGCCAACCGTCAACATCTCGCCAGGGAACTTACCGCGGCGCCTTCCTTTACTCAGTTTTGGCTTATTTCTACGTCCACACCTCTATTGTGAATTGCTACTAATCGGCGTAAGGAAGGAAAGCCCGACGACTCGATCGACCAGCAACACACGAGCGAGCGGCATTGGCAATTTCCACCAATTTCATCTACAAGATGGAAGGGAATTTGTCAGATGATCCTGCATCCTTAGAGACGGCAAGTTTTGGATATAATTTGCGGGCTTGGTTCGCAACCCTCCTACGTCGTAGGGCGTGGTTATGCATCAATCCGTGCGTGACATTCCCACTGCCCCGCTCTGTCATGTTCTATCAATACACACATAACCTCTCACTGAAGCAAAGTTGACTAAGCTCTCCGTATTCCGCGGGAAAGCATGTCTGTACCGCCTGCCAAGTACCATACCCTCAAGCAACTAACCTTCCCTGCCATGCCATGCCCTGCTGTCCGCGCTGCTGACCCCCATCCACCGCAGTACCACCGCTGGCTGCTCTTCTACTACCACTGCAGCGAGTGCCGTCACGGCGGACAGGGCCTGCTGGACGCCTGCAAGTACGGCGCCCTGTGCTGCAGCGGCAAGTCCGCCTTCTCACATGTGGCGGGTTGCAACAGCGGCGGCAGCAGCGGCGGTGAGAGCTGCGGTTACCCGAGATGTGGCCTGATCAAGAACATCTTGGGCCACCACCTGTCATGCACGGTAGGGTGAATGGGCTGCGACGCACACGAAAGAACAGATGAAGAGCCGTAACGTGCACGGAACACAACGATCCCGGATGCATATGAACTTGAGCTGCAAGTTCCGGGCCCCGCTAACCTTACAGCTGGACAGGAACCCCCCTCCCACTGCTATAGCTCACAAGCCGCGCCCGCACCTGTCCCCACGGCGGCCCACAGGACACCGAGTGCCGCGTGTGTGCACCCGTTCGGAGCTACCATAGGGCCCGCAGCCAGAGGGCTTCATCACTGGAGCCACAGCAGCCACAACCGCAGCTGCAGCCGCCGCCTCTTCAACCCCAGCAGCACCCGCAAGAGCAACAGCAGCAGCAGTCCGCGTCCTTCCTGCCGCACCCATCGCTGCAGTCGCCCTTGCCGCCGCCCCCGCAGCAGTACATGGCCCATGTACATGACCTACAGCAGCAGGCACTGACCTGTCAGCGGCAGCCTTCCCTGGGCTCCCCGCTCTTTGAGGCTCGCCACCGCCAGAAGCTGGCCACGACTGCCGAACTGGGCCGCTCCTCCCTGACCAGTATCACGTCAACCACCACCGCAACTGCAACCGCAACCGGCTCACCCAACAGCTCTCCACACAACTCCGTGCTTGGCACTCCTAACAACGGCGGCGGCGGATCCCCACACAACTCGCCCACAGACACGGGAGAAGCGCTAGCCGAGCTCCAGACGTTGCAGCTACTGGACAGCGGTCGGCTGCCGTCACTGCCGCCGCCGCCACAGCAGCAGCTTCAGCTGCAGCCCTTACCACAGCAGCAGCCACAGCCGCAGCCATCGTTGGCTTGTGCTCTGCATTTCCCGGCGCCTCAGCTTCAGCCACAGCAGCAGCAGCAGCCAACACAGCCGCAGCCGTTGCGACCACCACCAGCTGCGCAACCCGCTGTGTACTTCTCACCCTTCCAAGCCCAGCAGTCAACAAGCGCAACCCTGCTGGCAACATCCGTCGCAGCTGCTGGCGGCATGAGGCAACCCTTGCAAGCAGCTGCTGCGCCCCTCTCCTCCGCATCAGCAGCAGCTGGATTTCCGTTCACCATCATGCAGCCGCATCCCATGCAGGCTCCACCATACCATCACTTGCATCATGCATCACAGTCGCAGATGCTGCAAATGCAGCACTACTGGTTGGCAGTGCAGCAGCAACAGCAACAGCAACAGCAGCAACAGCAACAGCAGCAGTCTAACACAATGCCAGTCAATGCAACCACGGCGTACCATCAAAGCCATGTTGCTGGCCCGCCTGCGCCGACGCTGTCACATACCCAGCTGCCGTACAGCTTCTTTCCCCAGCAGCAGCAGCAGCAGCAACAGCATGTGGCTGCTCCGCGGCAGCTGCCCGGCCTGCAGCACCACGCGGCAGCTGCCCGTCCTCTCATGCTGGCAGCAAGTTCCGGCTTCCCTCAGGCCCCAGCTGCTGCTGCCTACGGACCTGCTGCCAGCCCATTCCAACTTCCTGCTGCCCAGCAAACGGACGCCCAAGCTGGCCAGCCGTCTCTGCACGTCCAACAGCAGCTACACCAGCAGCAGCAGCAACAAGGACTTCCATTTGCAGCAGCGCCAGCAGCGCCGGTGCCATTACAACAGCAGCTGCCGCTGTACCCGTATCGGCAGCACATGCAGCAATAGCAGCTATCGGTAATGTACGTGCGCTGCTGAGAGCGCAAGCAACATGCGGCTTGGGGCCTCAGCAGCACCAGCAGCACCATCCCAGCAGCAGCCTCCGCCCTCCCCGGCGGCGGCGATGAGTGGCATCCCCCATCCTAGCTGCTGATCGCGCAGGCGGCGCGCCTTACCCGCTGGCTAGGCAACAAGGCAATGCTGCGGCGGAGGGGGTTGTGGTGGTGGTGGTCGCGGGCGCCTTACTTGAGGGTGGAATGCATGTGTACGTCGTCTTAGGGTTCTGAGTAAGAGGGCAGGACGTCTTCGTACTTCTGGATCTGGTGGGGATACAAATTGGGTTTGAGTCGAAACGTTACATGTCCCTTTAAAATCGCTTTCATGGCTTGTACAGCCAGGCAATGTGGGTTTGCTGCTGAAGGTTTTTGCCGAAACGAACTAGGAGGATCCTATGCAAGCAGTCCACCGTTCCTGGGCTTGGCTTAATCCGCACTACTCGGTCATTCCAAATGGCTCAACAGGCCATATACTGGTACGCCGCCGGCTCACGCATGTATCTATGCTAAGGAGACGAGCGCGTGAAGTGCTTATCTACGGCTTAACACCATGGCTTCGTTTGCTGCGTAAACATTACTAAAGTCGTCTGTGGGAGGGGCATGCCAGGGCAATGCTTACAAACAATGCCAGTCATGAAGCATTGAAAACACAATGCCTACCTATTGCACCCGAATCCTGATATTTAATCTATTTCTTTCAGGATATCTTGGGCTGCACGATATGGGCACCATATGGGCACAGTGTTGGTTGTAGCAGATCTGCGGCTTTTGCTGTTCCTGACCCATGGGTCTTGGCATGAATGCGTATGCTGGCAGGCTGCGTTACAACAATCCCAGCGCACTGGTCTTCTCTACGCGGTTCTTTGTGGTCCAACGACTCAATGGAGCTAAACGTGGTGTCATCCGGGTCACTACGCTGATGATTAGTTCAGGCTGTTGGCATCCAGAACCGACGCACCTCCGGAGTATGGCCGGGGTTTAGGTGAAGTCCTGTAAGCTTTAAATCATGTGTGGCAATATGCAAGCAGAGAAGCTCATTGTAGATCGGAAAAGGCCTGCGCCAGAGGCCGGGTTCAGCGCACGCCATCGTTCTGCTTCCCCAAACGCTGCTACGGTGTCGGCAAACGCCGCTACTGCCGCTACCGGTATCATACACAGGGAACCAAGGTTGAAAGGAAGGCCAGTGTTGCAGCTATATATGTATATATACTATAGTATGTAACATGCGACAAACGCAGTGAGCTGTGACATGTAAAATGTCAGAGCTGATAGGAGGATACCAAAAATCAACAGGGATTGTCGCGGGAATCGCCAACAGGCTCCGACGTGATTGAAGCTTTACCGCGCGTTGCATTCCCAATAGCCGCAATTTTATTTTTAGAGTACCACACGAACTGATTCAGTCAGCTTGGTTCGGTGGCTGCTGGGTATGAGGTTTCGCTAAAGTATCCACGGTTGGTGTTATTACGGCAAGACTCAATCTCCAATAGCTACAACTGTGTCTGGAATACTTGTCCTCAAAAGGCACGATTTTATGCATGGTAAAGTTGCTAACTGAAAGCGCTCCAGCGTTGGTGGTTCGATCGTTGTCTGACTAAAACAGTCGTGCACGAGGAACAGGCAAAGCAGTTTAGCTGAAAGGAAGGCGCTTGCGTAAAGTTGCACTACTAAATACATAAACTCCGCTTGCAAGCTGCAGTCTGATACTCAGTTCGTAGTAAGCTGCTTGGAAAGCGTAGTAGAGTTACACCCTCGCAGGGTCGCAGCCTTTAATGGCTTCCTAACATGGTCTCCAAGGCCAGTCCTTGAAGCTATGACCGGAGAAAGTGTTGTGTTTGCGGATGCGAAGGCGCATGCGCGACGGTCGCCGCTGTCGACAGCCGAGCGTTCGGATGCTGCTGGAGAAGCGAGCCGCCCGACTTGTGACTATATTCGTTACCCGACGCAAGCAGCACTATCAGCTGCAATACGGACGCCAACGCGCGTAAAGCGCTCAAATGGTACGTCGGCCACTTGTCGGCCCTTACGTATCCTATGTCGAGTGCGGCCCCCACTCTGGAATTATTTCTAACGATTTCTGAGCAATGTTTATCCGGGCCCTAGCAACCCACCGCCTGTGCTTCCTACGCCTGCACGCAGCAATCAGCGGTGTTGCATGCTCATTTAGCATGTCCATGAGGCTTTGATTGCAGCCTGGCCTCCATCGGCGTCAGACGTGGTTGCACACAACGAGCATTCGTTTACCACACGCCCGTGCCAGAAACACCCAGCTCCAAGCCCGTGCCTCGATCCTACAAAGCCCAAGCCGGCCTAACCCTACCGCGGCCCGTGCTGCCATACCTCCCTGCCGTACCCGCTACACAGGTGGCTGCCCTTCCGCCCTGCTGCGCGCCCTCGAGAACCGCCACCGCTGGCTGCTGTTCGCACAGCACTGCTACACGTGTGCACAGCAGGAGGGCGAGTGCGAGCTGGGCAAGCTCTGCACGTACGGCAAGCGGACGCTGCAGCACGTGATGCAGTGCGGTCGGGAGCAGTGCTGCTACCCTCGCTGCGGGCTGCTGAAGCCGCTGTTGGAGCACAGCAGGCGCTGTCAGGTGGGGAGCAGACATGCAAGAGGGGCGTGGGAGGTACCGACAGGGTGGTCAGTGGTCATAGTGTGCGATTGCTCCATGCACCCAACAACCTTTTTCCCCGCACCAGTATCTTCCCTTGTACCGTATGTCGCGCGCTCTGCCGTTGCCGTACACGAGTACGGCCCCTTTCCTCCTTCCTGCTGCTGATCCCTCCATCCCTCCTTCCTGCTGCCTCTTTTCCCCAATTGCTGTCGCCCCCCGTTCGTAGTCGCCCACCTGCGCAATCTGCGTCCCCGTCTGGAACTACATCCAACGGGACCTCCACCACCACCAACACCACCGCCACCACCACCACCAACAGCAGCAGCAGCAGCCCCCGCGGCAGCAGCCAGATGCCGATGCACTCCCCCCACCAGCCAGGGTGCAACCCCGCCCAAGCGCCGCCGCCATCGCAGCAACGCTAGCGCCTGCCGGCAATAACACCCTCGCCATCGAATCCCCGCCAGCTGGGTCGCAGTCCACTCCCTCTACCACCGCGGCAGCTGCAACGGCGCTCACCACCCACATAGCGGCCGCCTGGGGCCCGGTAGGGTTGCCACCAACAGTCGAGCAGCAGATGGGAGCCATCACCGCCGGCGGAAGTCTGGAAGCAAGCGACGCACCTGCTGGAAACGGCGGTGGCAAGTTCCAATTCGGCGATGGCGGTGGCTGCAGTAACGGCGGTGGAGATGGAAGCGGTGGAAACGGCGGCGTTGGAACAGCCCAGGACGTCACTGACAACGGCAGCGGCGGCGTTCAACTGCTCGCGGCCCTGCATGATGCGGCGGCGGATGACGGGACTGCGGCTGGCCAGGTGGAGGCTGCCTCAGACCTCGACCCGCGGCAGGCGAAGCCGCAAACGTGCCCGTCTCCTCACACGCACACAGCGCAGGTCAAGCAAGAGTGCATCCATGACAGCACCGTCGCTGCCGCTGCCCACATCGCCTCCCTGCCGCTCTTCAACGCCAGCCCGCATGCCCCCCTCGGACTTCACCATGCAGCGCCGCCAGGATCGCTACCCGCCGTACCTCCTCCGTACCATTCACTGCCATCGTACGGCAGCTCTTTTCCGGCGGCGACTTCCGGCCATCTGGCAGGCAGCAAAGCCGCCATGCCTACGCTGCCCCACCCGCCCTGGGCTGTACCCATGCCAGCCCTAGGCACCATCATGCCGCGCTTGCTGCCACATGCGTACCCGCCCGGCACGGCTGCAGTCCCCTACCTCCTCCCTCACTTCCCTCATCCCGACCCGCCGCGGCCTCATCACATCCTGTCGAGCCCTCACTCTCAGCCAGTCCCCCTCATCCCGGCCATGGTGCGATGGGTGCCCTGGCAACCGGGGCCCAGCGCAGCCCTAGCCGGCCAGGCCTCCGCTCCTTCCACCTCCTCTGCACCCGCTACTGCACCCACGCAGACCAGCAACGAAGCCGGCAGCGGCGCCAACGCCACCGTGCCCGCTGTCCCTGTCGGCAACCCGCGGCCGCCGCAGCTGTGGCCTACCACCCAGCAGCACCCCCGACCCGGCGGCCCAATGGTAGTACATGGCACTCCGGTTGGCGTTGCATCCGGGGGCAGTGCGGTGAGACCGGTGGGAGGTCAGTTCGGGCTGGCAGCTGCAGGCGCTGGCAACCGTAGCGGCGGCGGCGGTGGTACGGCAGGCACAGCGGGCGTTACAGTGCATGGCAGCGCTGCCCCGACTGCGCTGCCATGTTGGCCAGGACACATCCCCCACAACCACTCGCTGACGGCAGCGACATCCAAGCCGCCGCCGTCGCTTCCATCGCCCCCCGCAGCACAGCAGCTGCTGTCCGGTCCCACAGCCCCAGCAGACGGAAGTGCGCGCCAGCAAGGTAGCGGAGCCGCCGCAGCCGTTTCTGTCAGCGGTGGCGATCGCAACCCTGCTGGCGCGCCGTCGTACCCGCCTTTACAGCAAGCTCTCCTCAACCCACCGCCACTCTTCAGCGGCCAAGCGGCGGGATCTGGGATTAACGGCAGCGGCTCAGTTGCCGCAAATGGGACGTAAGCTTTGAAGTGCGGTTGACGAGGAGGAAATGGTTCGTTGGAGCTGCGCAGCAGATTAATGACAAGGGGTTGTAGTGTCTGCTACTTGTTCTCTGTCCGGAGGTTATGTGGCCCGAATGTACGAATTGGTTACGAGGTATTGCTGGGATGCCGGCCTGTCATGGCATGAAGCTTGTGCTGATTCCTAAGAGTCTGTTTTGACTCTTGTATTGTTTTGACGTGTTTGCATTTGTTGACCCTGATATGTTGAAGCTCTTTCGTTTGCTCGTTTGCATGCTGGTTTAGGACACCCCAAACGCAGGTGTCGTACGGCTGACGTACGACGCTGACATTATGGTCCGTGTGTTAAGAAAATGTCGTAGCCATGCGGCTTGGGTGTGCCAACACTACGCGAGCCCTAAACAAGGTCTAGCAATAGCGGGTATCGCGCGTGGCGCTATGCAGAATGCATCCACCAACAAAGTACATACCCATGCACGCGGTTGTGAAAACCTAAACACCAATCCCATCCTAGCATTTCTGGCTACCTCAAAGAAAGCATGCGGGGTTTGTCCTTACCTGAATGTAAGGCTAGACTGCAATCCTCCTAATGCGCATGTGGTATGTTGGTTAAGGACTAGCTGCGGGAGGCGTTCGGGGGGGTTCCTAAGCGCGTGCGTTACCAGTCAAGGACCATACGTTGTCTCCCTCCGGAGGGCCATCCTAAGGACCTGGCATCCCAAGCACCTGCGGGTGCACCTGTCTGCTGAGCGGCTGAACGTTGTGTATTCCTGTGACTGGGGGCAGCAACACCTGCTCTACATGCGCGGCGCAAACGCAGCGGGAGCATCAGCACTGCTGTGTTGCACCCCATGTAAGCAACTTGACATGTTGGCGGCAGCCCTAAACACACCACTCAACTACACCTCTCCATCAGTCTTCAGGATTACAGCGGCAGCCTCCCTAGGCCGCGCCCTGCCAGCACTGCCCGGCACCCTCACACGCCGCCCTACTACCCACACTATACAGACCCTATCTTACAGCCATTAACCACCAACAACGGGTCACCTCACACCCGTTTGGGCCACGCTGTAACTAGGACAACGTACGTCACGATTGCTACGAACCCTACCTACATGGCCTACGGAACCAGGCAGGAAAGCGCACATATAGTACCGTACCAACTGCTCGGCAACCGCTTGGACGAGCAGCCCATGAGCGGTCGCACTGCTCACTCGCACGCCATGCTGCTACCCAGAGCATGCAAGACAACAACAGCCACACAGGGCCTATCCGCCCGCTCTCTGTTCAGTAATCCACATTACCACATCACAACGTGGACTTACAAGGATTGGCTTAACGAGGATTGACGCACAAGGTAGTCTGGCACATATAGTACATGAGCGGTAAAGGTCCGTCGCTCCTCACGCCATCAACACGCCGCCGCGAGTGACGGCCTCGTACGCCTCCGCCAGTACGGCACTCACGGCGGCGCTATCCAGCGGCGACGTGGCCGACCCATGGGCCATCTCCATCGCCTCCCGCAGCGCTGCCGCCGCCTCCTCCGGCGCCAGTCGGGGGTCTACCTGGGCCTTACCGCTGTCGCCATCTCCCAGCTTCACAGCACAGGCCGGCAGCGTCGCTGCCGTCTCCACTGCTGATGCCGCGACGGTTGAGCTTTCAGCGGATGCTAGCGGCGGCAGCGGGCGCGGCGGGCGGGCCTGCACGAGCTTCATGACGACTGACGCCAGTCCGATGGTGGGTCGGGGGGACCAGGATGCGGGGGAGGCGGCACGAGGTGCGGACTTGCTGGTTGATGTAGCGCCGGCGGCCGCATGCGGGTCAGCGGGGGCGTTGTCACGCTCAGCTCGCTGCTGTTCCGGTGATGAGGGCTGCGCTGCGGATGGCGCATGGTTGACTGCGGCATCGCCCACCCGAGCCGACTCCTCACCCGCACCCGCACCTGCACCCTCGCCCTCCCATGGCGGCAGGAAGGGCAGGAAGCCGTCTGCCAGCGTGCCGAACGCCAGGATGTCGGGTCGAATGTGGGCGGGCAGCGAGCACACCTGCGGCCATGGGGAGGACGAAAGCGGGGCAGAGCGGCGCTGGAGCTGCGAACCTGGAGATCAACAGTCCCCTCCTCGCCGCCAATCGTCCTTCCAGACTCCAAAGAGGTTACTGACCCGCACACCGCCACGTATCCCAGCCCCTTGCATACAAGCATACCCACACTAGTGCCCGCTAGGCTCCCTTCAGTCTCCTCACTTGCACATCACAAAGAAGGCGGAATTTCTGCTCCCCCAAGCGACCCATGGGTCCATAACATACCCAACCGTTCCCGCTCCCTCCCTCGCCTGCGTCCCCGACTCTCTCCCCTCCGCCAACCCACCTGCGCGATGTTTTCCACACTGTCCAGGTTGGAGTGCATTAGCAGCGGCCGCGGCAGCTCCGGCAGCCCCGCATCCCGCAGCACCCCGCAGCGCCGCTCCCAGGCCGCCACCACCGCGCCCGCCACCTGCTCGTAGGGCCCCGAGTCCAGCCGCCATACCCTGGGCAGCACATGGCACACACACACCCCACAAAGGGAACACGAGGGGAACACAAGGGGTGATCAGGGGGGAAAGCAAAGGGATCAACGGGGTAAGAAAGGCAGCGGAGGAGGAGGCAGCAGCCAAGGTTGGGTAGACACGTCGGTTGCTTCCGGACGGGATCCAATGACCCACGACACAAGACCAACGGCAGCAGAACGGCTCATTTATTAGAGTATGTAGGCATTCTGCTCCTAGCAAGAGCCACTGGCCACCCTCACCCCCACCTGAACAGGTCGAAGCACCGGGCATGCTCCGGCACCTCCCACCCGTGCGCCGCCGCCACGTCACGTCGGAACGCCGCAGGCACCTCCGCCGCCAGCGACACCGCCAGGAACGCAGGCGTGGTGAAGGTATCCGCCAGCGCCGTCGCACCCGCACCCGCACCACTGCCCTGGCCACTGTTCCCCCCGCCCCCGCCCCCGCCCCCGCCCCCGCCCCCGCCGCCGCCTGCTCCGTTCGCCGCCAGGAAGAGCAGATGTGCTAGCAGCGGGGTGAGCGCGACTGCATGGCCCAGCCCGCAGCGGCGACCCGCCTCCCGGTCGTACGGCGCAAGCAGCTGCTGCAGGGCGCTGGTCTGCGGGGGGGTGAAGAAGAATCCCAAGGTGATTAATGGGGGGACACATGGTAGGCAGGGGGCGGTGAAAAGGAGTGGCCTTTCGTATGTGCAGGTAGCGGGCTTAAAAAATTGTTTTGTTTTCGGATTGAGGCGTAATGTATGACATCCGTTTGTAGCCCTCCTTCGTACACCTTTATTCCACTCCTGCACCGCAGCAGTCACCACTACCGCCGCTGTCAGCCACCTCCAGCCTCCCTACGGACCGTCGGCGCGGCTGCTGGCCACCTCGATGTACTGGCGACGCTACTCTTTCCCTCCCTATCCCTGTTCGCTCTGGCTTCGGTAAGTCTTCATTTTTTGGTAAGTGCATTACACGTACTGGCTTCGCTAATTCGGGTTGGGCGGGTCGGGCTGGCTCACATGTTGCAACCCATGTTGACGCCTTATCCCTCAGTCAGTTAGTTCTTTCCTCTTTACCCCTACCTCCCTCCCCCCTACCTCCCGCCCGCCCACGCCCCCACCTGCTCGTGTGCATGGGTGCCCAGCAGCCGCCCCACCAGTGCACCCGCCCAGCGCTCACTGCCGCCGCCGCCGCTGCTGCTGCACCCCACCTCCTCCCGCCTGCCAGCCCCCGCCTCCGCTCCCCCAGTTCCAATCCCATCCGGCTGTGGCTCCTCTTCCTGCCCCCCCTCCCGCCCCAGCCCCGCCTCCCCCTCCCGCCCCAGCACCGCCGCCACGAAGAGCGAGCTGGTTCCTCCGTACCCCGCCAGGTGCGCGGCGCAGTACAGGTTCTGCAGCAGCAGGAACAGCAGGTCGCTGGAGCGGCGGCCTGGGGGGAGGCGGGAGGGGGCAAGAGGAGGAGGGGGAGAGGAGGAAAGAGGGTAACAAGGTAACAGGGTGCGACGGGGCAATGGGGTTGCAAGTGGGATAACGCATGGATCGATTGCAAAGCATGGCAAGGTCCCACCTGTCCCCCACGGGCCCCGCTACTGCCGCCCCCACCCCCCGCCCCCACCTGCGAACAGCGCCACCCTGCAGCCGTGCCGCAGCTGATTGATGCGCTGCACCGTGAGGGCTAGGCGCGCAAGACTGCTGGCCAGCCGCTCGGTGCGGCCCAGCAGCAGGTGGGAGGCGGGGGTGTCATCTGCGGTTGGAGCGGCCAGGGAGCGGCGGTGTGCGGCCACCTGCGGCCGCATGTGGGGCGTAGTGAGGCGGAGTGGGATGAGGTGAGGCGGGGGAGGAGCAGCCGGGACATGCGGGGAGCGGCGTTCCTCGGCTCGGCAGCATGAGTCACATGCGAATGCGCACCATGCACATGAGGATGCGCACCATGCAGCCCCCATGCAGCAGCCCTCCAGCACACCCCGTCCCCAACCCTCCCCACGTGTGCGGTATTACCGTGTGTTAAGAAAACTGGCCGCGAGTAGGAACATACTACCGTGTGTATCCAGTAGCCCCCAACCCACCACCAGCCACCCCCACGCCCTCCTCCCCACCTGCGCCCACACCGCCAGCTGTTGGAAGCGCTGCATGAGGGAGGTCTCCACCAGGGAGGAGGAGGTGAGGGGGCCTGGCAGGAGGGAAGGAGTGGCGGCGGGGAGGGAGAGGAGGAGCGGGAAGCTCCTCCAAGGTGTGGAAAGGAGGAGGAGGAAGAAAGCAAGGCAGTGGGGGCAGGCCGGGTGCAGCAGGAACACAACTCCCCAACATGCCCGGCTCGCAGCAACCCGCATGCACACGCACCACTGCCACACTCCTCCTGCCGCGGACTCACCGGACGCCACCGCCACACGGCCCTCCTTTGAGCGCTCGCCTGCCGCCTCCTCCTCCCCCCGCTGCTGCGGCCCCTCCAGCTTCCCCGGCTGCCCCTCCCCCCACTGCTGCTGCCCCTCCTCCAGCATCTGCGTGTGCAGCCCGTGTCGTGCGTGCCGAGGGTGCCAGGCGAGCGGCGCCGTACCGTCGCGGTGCACTCGGGACAGCAGCGACTGAGAGGGAGGGAGGGAGGGAGGGAGGGAGGAGCAGGGCGGGGAGGAGCAGGGCGGGGTTGGGTTAGGTGGGGAGAGGGGTAGGGATTTGCAGGCCAGTATTGCTGCATGGGGCTCGACAGAAACGAAAGATCAGCTAGGGGACACGGGAAAAATAAATGATAAGTGCAGCAACTGGAGTTCCTATAACATCCCGACTCATGGCGTATGGGAGCAACGTCCTCGCCATGCCACTTATACATTTACAGTACTATTATCCAACAAGCTTCCAGCTGTGTGAATGGCCCGACTAGCTTCCAAGCCATCATTCCGCTGCTGCAGTCGTACCTGCGGCAAGTCCAGATCAAATTGTTCATGGAGAGCCCTGACCTCGTACGGACCGTACGGCACTGTACGACTGATCCCTGCCGCCGTAGCCTCGAAGTCAGCCCAGAGCTCGGGCTGCTCGTACGGCAGTCTGGCGGGATCCGCCGCCTCAGGAGCTCGCCGTACAATCAGGGCAAAATCAGCGGTCACGCCGGTCATGTACTTGTCGTACATCACATGCATTCTCGGCTTGTAGGCATCGTTTACTAGGATGTCCTGAAGGCGGTCCGGAGGAAGAACGAGTAAGCGCCGTACGAGCGGTGTGCTTAGTAGCTCCTCCATTTGCCGTATTGCCGTTTCGGGGATGTCGTACGCACGTGCGTAGATGCGCAAGCGGTGCCGAAGCAGGACACTGTCGATCGGATTAGAGTCAGTGACGTCAGCAGCAGAGTGGTTGGTAGCGGCAGTGGTGGTAGGTCCATTTGCCGCCATGCTTGTGTGCCTGCCGAATGGGTTGTTAAGCAGTTGAGGTCATAACGCTACTTCCCACTTTTGCAAGCGCTTAACCGATTGAGCCTGCTCCATCCTAATGGTTCACAAGGCGCCGAGTAACACCGCAACAGTGTGCATGGCAATGCGACGGTGTTGCGGTGATAACGGTAAAAAAAACTCAAAAGGTATGACCATCTTGCAAGTCTCCGAAAATGCTCATGTTAGCGAAGGGTATCTACGTTTCCCATTATGCTCGCAGGGCGAGTCGAGAAGGCCTTGCTTTCGGCCCACCATGGATTACAACGGCATACTTCGACAGACCTGCCCAACTTGTCGCCACTACTCTGTAGTTTTTGATCGTCAACCACGGTCGTTCTAGACGCCTCGGAAGCGCCGCTAAGCGGAGGGGACATTGGTGAGGTCGTCGCGATGACGGTCACCACTAGCAAGCAGCGCTTACGTAAAAGCCTGGGGAAATGATAACATAAATTCTAGCCAACGCGTTTTGCAGCAATGACGGAAAATGGGGAGTAAAGAAGTCTGGATGCTTGAAGGGTGTTGCAGTCGGTCTAGGCTGTATTGTTGAGTGAATGACAGTTACAATGGTTGCTGGGATGAGACGTGAGTTGTTGCAACGCATTGCCAGCAGAGATGTAAGCTGTCCTAAGTTGCGACCCCGTACGGCACCTTGGATGATGACTAATAAAGGAAGGCAGACAGCAGCATCCAGGTTAGCCTGCATCACGAACGTCCTTTCCGGTCAAACACCCAGTTAATACAACTGGGAGGACTGGACCTCACTGAACTCAGGGATGGCATTACGCCCGCCAGGCCCAGCAATGCGACGGCGACGCTTTGCGGGCGCAGCTAGGCCGCACGTCGTTTCAAACAGAGTTGTGAAAGAAAGCCAGCGCAAGGCTAGGCATGCATGCGAGGGGGCGAAGTGTGGTCCCTAGGGCAATGACGCCTCTGCAACCATTGCAACAAACCAGTATGTCACTTCATGCCGTGCTGGAAGGCACCGTAAGTCCCAACCGCGTTCCTAACGATTCCTAATCCATAACAACCGGCTCTAGACATGGCATATGCATACTCCCTTGACGGTAGCTCCCTTGGTAGCCTTCTGCTAACTTCAACCCACCTTGTAGTACGGGGAACGTACAAATGTACGGCAGGACGGGAATACGTCCGCACGGCGCACGTGCAAACGCTGCGCCGTAACATAGTACGAAATGTGTATGGGCACTGCTGGTTTACGCACTGCAAGTTGTTTATATTTGAGTAGCTTCATACACTTTCACTTTCACCTTTGCCGGTCCTTCATGTGTTAACTAGCTGCGGGTGTTCACGCGATACCAATTTAGGCCGGCACCGAATTACCCCAAATTTATTATGGTGGAGTTGAGCTCAGCGCCTCCATGCGCTACCGACAGCCTTGTCGAATGTGCGCTGAAGGTCTTACAATGCCCAGATCCCTGGCAAAAAGCCGAATACACGTACAGCACAGTTAGGATGTGGCGCGATGGCACCATTAAACGCGTGCGACCTGTCGAATGGAGGCATCTGCGAGCGCCGGACCGCCCTGCTCGCTCAGATGACAAGGTGAGGGCTCCGCTGTTATCGGGCTTACTATGAAGTGGTGGCTAACGGCTTTAGGTCACGCGCTAGCGAGGGTCTGTCAGTCGAACGCGTGCACCACCCGCTGCAAGTAATGCTAAAGCGTCAGCGTGGCCCTACGAGAGAGATTGGATTTGGGGCAGCACTCCTCACACTGCCGGTCCCCCGTGCCTCCCGCCAATGCACCGCACCCTCTGCGTACTGACCATGCCCTGCTGGCCCCGTCGTCCCTTCCTACTCCCCCTGCCATCTTCACCCCGCTTCTGCCAAGGTCCGAGTATGCGCCCCCGGAGAGGTATGTACCGGCAGTGTCGCTTGGCCGGGCTTTAGGCAGCAGTGCCTCAGCTCACTCCTTGCCTTCCCACCACCTCCACTTCCCAGGCTCAGTGCCTCCCTCACTCATACATCAGCCACACCCCCTGCCTTTCAGTCACTTCCATGTCCCGCCCCACCACCGAACCCGCCTCCGCCAGGCTCCCCGGCGCGGCAAGGGCGGCAGCCTCGCCTCCCGCCAGGCGCTGCTGCACTCCGCAGTGCACATCGAGAACTGGGCGGTGGACCTGTCGTGGGACGTGGTGGCGCGGTTCGGACTGCGGGCGCACGAGTACGAACTGCCCCGGGAGTTCTTTGATGACTTTGTGACGGTACGGTACGGCAGCAGAAGCGTACGGCTGACATGGATCGAGGCATATGACATGATGATGTGCAGGGCAGGGCAGCGGAAGGAGGGGGATGGGGGGGTACATAGGTACTGAGGTCATGCCAGTCCGTAGGTGCATCCGAACGTCGACATTAGCACAGCCGGCGTTCGGAGCTGTCAAGCCAGGGGCTGCTTTGGCGGAGGCGGCTGGGAGACTCATGGGTCATCGTGCAGCCGTTAAGGCGGCTTGCTTGGGCCCCCGCAGCGGCGTCACTTCATGCATCATTTACCGTCCCCTCTGCCCTGACCGTCCCTTGCACCTCCGCGCGCCTGCCATGACCCTCCTCACCCCAGGTTGCGGAGGACGAGTGCCGCCACTTCACCGCGCTCGCTAAGCGGCTGGAGGTGAGGTTAAGGGGCGTTCGCATGACGGCTCTCATAAACGACCCACGGGGCACCCCAGCGGAGTACTCCCTAGTGCCCTTCTTCGATCGCTTCCTTATTTCTCGGCGGTAAGGGCAACCTTGGTACCGCTCCAACGGAGCCCTGCCAACCTCCTTCCCTCCCCCCCCCGCCCTCTGTCGTACCACCGCCGCTGCTGCAGGAGGTGGGCTCCCACTACGGGGCGTTTGCCGTACATGACGGGTGAGAGCCCAGCCTCCCCTGCGCCGCACCCACATGCCCACATCCCCACATGCCCATGCGCGCGGCCGACAGCAGGGCACCTCGAAGTACCTGGAATTCGGCCGGGTTGGTGTGCGTTAGGAAGGCACTAAGCGATGCGTTGGCTACACGGGGCACACGACATGCCATCTCCTTTGCGTCCCCCGTTGTTCCCCTGTACTATCTCCAAACCACCGCCCCCCCTCCCTCCCCCCCCCCCCACACACACCAGGTTGTGGGAGTCCGCCGCCGCCACGGCTCACAGCCTGCCCGCCCGGCTGGCCGTGGAGCACTGCGTGCACGAGGCGAGGGGGCTGGACGTGCTGCCGGGCACGGTAGCCAAGTTCGCAAACAACGGGGACGCGGAGTCGGCGGCGCTGCTGCGGGATGTGATCTACCCGGTAGGAATTGGGAGGGTGGAGGAGAGGAGAGGAGGAGGAGGCGGGGACGTAGCACGTCGTACCCATGCCTTCTGCCCGCTTCCAAACCGCTCGTTCCCCTCCTGGTACTCATCCCATCCTCATCCGCTCCCATTCCCCACGTCCCTCACCTCAGGAGGAGATCTCCCACTGCGCTGCCGGGGTGCGGTGGATCAGGTACCTGTACGACGTAGCGCACGGCAGGCGCCCGCCTGCGCCACCCGCGGATGCGGATGCGCAGGTAGAGGCGGAGGCGGAAGCGGAGGCGACACCCCTGCCGGCGGCCTCCACGAACGGCGCAGCTGCTGCTGCTGCTGCTGCCGGTGACGCTGATGCCCCCGGCGGCTTGAGTGCTCGTCTACGTGAGCTGGGTGTCGGGACCAGTAGTGCCTGCGGCGAGGAGGGGGCTGGGGGGGGCGGCGGTGATACCACCGCAGCAGCTACGTCCACTGCATCAACGTCACCGCTGCCTCCCTCTGCCACCACCGGCCCAGCGGCCGCAGCACCAGCAGCGGGAGGGGGTGCGGAGGAGGCGAGTGCGGCCTGGGTTGCCGACGCTCGGCGGCACGTCAGCGTGGAGGCGTGGTTCCACTCACTGGTGCGGGCGCACTTCTGGGGCGGACTCAAGGTGGGTGGGAAAGATAAAGGAACTGACGAGGCAACTAACGGGCTGGTTGGGCGGGCGGGCGGCGAGTGGGGCACACCCTCCACTCTCGGCAGGGCGGTCTATACCGGTAGCTGCTTTCCTAGCTACTTGCTAGGTGGGTGGCCGTTTGGTTCTCCTCATGCGGGGGAGAGGGGGGAAGAACGTGAGTCGCGTCGGCGGGAACGCAGACGTTCCGGGATTCCCCGGTCCCTGAGCGCACAGCAGGAGTCCTGATCACACCCCTGCCCTCCCGACCTCCTCCTCCTGTCCTGCCCCTCCTCCCGCTCCGTCGTCACCCCCTCCTGGCTGGCCCATCAACACACCGCCCTCAGCCGCCCTTCAACGATGAGGCTCGGGCTCGGGCGGGGTTCGGGCCCGAGTGGTACCTGCCACTGGCACAGCCCGCAGGGGGGGCACCCGCAGCAGCAGCACACCCGGAGGCAGCGTCGGGAGCGCCTGCAGCGGTGGAGGCGGACACCGCAGCGGCCTAGCAGTAGCCGCGTTGTCATCTTCAGCTCGGGGAGGCGGGTTAGGCATGCAGTGGGAGGTGACACATGTGGGCTGGCTACCGGCGCTCATGGGTCATGCCTGTTGTGGGCATAATGCATGCAGGCTGGGGTAATTGACTGATGTTACGGTGCGTTACGGCACCGGTAGAAGTAGGTCCCGCAGTGGGGGCAGTAGGTCCCAGCAGCAGGGGCGAGGACTGCGTCGAGGGCTTAGGCTCGTGTTGGCTTGGCTGTTTTGCTGCGACAGGGTTCCTGCTTGGGACGCTGCTTGTGATATGCATGTGGTGCCCGGTTGGCGGATACCGCTGACCAGAGGCAGTGGGCCCGTCGTCCGCACATGAAACCCCCCGTGCTGTGGTCACCTAATACCGGTACTGTTGAACGTGGGCGGTTGGTAAAGCCAGTGACACTACCCGTGACGGACCTGTCGACATGCAGTACGGTATCGCACATGGACAATCTATCATATGGCATGAGTGAATTACCATGGTGGTCAATGTCCAATACACAGTGTTAATGTACTGGTACTTCCTTGGGCTTAAAGACATACGGTGCCTTCCTTGGGCTTGAAGACGCCCCAGTCGTTCCCCGGCATGCGACATCGCAATGCGGCATCTCTTAACAACCCTCTGATCCATGCTTTCCTCCCCGGCTACATCTTCTGCTACGCACATTGCTGGTGCTCGTAGCACTGCTGATTTGCTGGCTTTGGTAGTTCGTAGTAGCAGCTCAGTGAACAATGCTCAGCAATGCCCCAGCAGTTGCAACATACAGACCGTATACCTAACCGTACTAATAGTTGTGGATTGAGGGAGGTACTGAACCCCTGCAAGGACCATATCCAATTGTGAACAAGACCGTACGACACACATTTGTCGTACCAACCAACGCCAGTAACAGCCACCTTTGGTGTGTTGCCTTTACTCAACACCCCCACCTACATGTCAGGTGCGGCACAACGCCACCAATCACGGCGCACTTATCCCTGCTACCCCTCTCCTCCACACCTATGGTACGGTACGGTCTTTGACCCCCCCTTCTCCACACCAAACCCTGCACATGAACCACATCAGCCCCCCCACCGCCTGCCCCCTCCTCCTGTCCTCTCCTACGCCACTGCCGCCACTGCCGCCACATCTCCCTCTACCACCACCGGAACCAGGAGCGGCCCGCCGCCTTGCCCCCCGCTGCTGCGCCCCCCGCCGCCGCCCGCCCCGCCGCCGCGCGCACCTCCGGCAGGTCCGCCCCCACCGCCTCCGCCACGGAGCTGAAGCCGTCGCGAGCCAGGCACTCCGCCAGCTCCCGCTTGACCTGCGGGATGAGCGCCGGCCCCTCGTACGCGAATGCGGTGTACAGCTGCACCAGGCTGGCACCTGAGGTGGGGGTGAGGGGTTGGGGTGGGGTGGGGGGGTAAGAAGTAGAAAAGGGTGGGATCGAAGGGTGAGGTTATATGGGATGGGAAGGAAATGGGTGTATGCGTGGACATGTGGGTTTGGGTACTGACAGGGGAGGGAGGGAGAGCCGTCCGTGCGTTCAAGCTTTGTTCACCGTTCAAGCGTTCACCCCAGCCGCCACCTGCATTGCCGCACAATCTGCCCATACATCGGGTACACAATTCCGCTTGCACATAAACAGGTCGGGCCCCCCACACGCCTGCTGTCCCCTCCCCCCCGAAGTACCACACTTTGGAATTTCTTTTTTTCCCCCCCGAAGTACCCCGCCCCCCCACCGCCCCTCTCCTTTCCCCCGCCCCCCACCCGCCTCCTGCCCGCCCCCTCCCGCCCTCACCCGCCCTGATCTTGCGGTACGCGTCCTCCCCGCTGCTCACTCCACCGCAGCCCACCAGCGGCAGCCGCCCCCCCGTCAGGCGGTACATGTCGGCCAGCACGGCGGTGCTCATCTCGAACAGCGGCGCACCGCTCAGCCCGCCCGCCTCCTGCGCCGCCGCGAACTCGGCAACCACACCTGGGGAGGTGGAGGAGGCGGATAGGGGGAGAGGGAGGGATAGGAGGAGGGAGAGCGGAGGACGAGGGAGGGGGAGGGGCATCCTGTATGCGAGGGTATGGTGAGTGCTGTTGTCGGCTCCTCGCATGCCGTACCAACGTCGCTTCTCCATCTCTCTCTGCATAACCCGGTCCCCCTGCATGCCAGCACCCCTCTCCTCCTCCCTCCCCCCCTCCATCCCCCCACCTGGTCGCTGGATGGTTGTGTTTGACACGATGAGTCCGTCCACCCCGCACGCCAGCGCCACGGCTGCGATGTCCTGCTTGTCGGGCTCACTCAGGTCGGGGGCAACCTTGATGAGCAGCGGGGGCGGGCCGCCGGGGCCCCACACCATGCGGTCGCGAGTGCCCTTCACCTGTGCGGGTGGGGTAAAAAAATATATATGATGAGGGTGGGGGGGGAGCAGGCGGGCGTGGGGGGTCGGGGAGAGGGAGGAGGAGGGGACAGGGAGGGGTGGGGAAGGCAATGTAGAATCCGTTGAAGAGAGCCGTGCGGGAAGGCTGCAGGTCGTGCTTTTCCAGGCCGTGGGCATTAGCCTGACCTGCATCTGTCAGCGCATCCATCAGCACACCCCATTCGGCACCCCCCACCTGCTCCCCGCCCCCCCTCCCGCCTCCCCACAGTACACGCGCGTACAGACTGTACAGACTGAAACTGTAACTCCCCCCCCTGCCCCCCCACCTGCTTCACCAGCGCCTCCAGCTCCTTGCGGCCCTGCAGCGAGCGAAGACCTGCACACCGGGAGGAGCGGGGGAGAGAGCGGTTGGAAGGAGGGAGGAAGGCCGGCTGAAGAGAAGCAGGTGGTTCCTTCCCCCTCCCGCACCCGCCCACACCCCTCTGCCCCTCTCCCTTCTGTAATTTTTACCCTCATTCCCCTCTTCCCTCGCCCCTCCGTACTTTCCGCCTCTTGCCTCCTTATCCCTGCCCCCTTCCTCGGGGATGGTGAAGCCTCGTCATACCCTCATACCAGTTCGTCAGCTTCCACATTTTTACCCCACCCCGCCCCCCCCTCCACCTCCCCCCCACCTGGCGTGTTGGGGCTGGACACGTTCACCACCAGGTAGTCCGCGTGCGTGCCCAGCCGCGTGAGGCCGATGCAGTAGTCCTGCGCCGCGTCCTTGCTGCTCTTGTTCTTGCCAAAGTTGACTCCCAGCGGGCCTGAGGAGGGGATGGTGGGGAGAGGGGGAGGGGCGGGGGGAAGGTGGTAAGGGAAGACTGTGTGGGCTACCGGTAAGGCTGCACAGGGCTACAACACCACCGCCAGCGAACCCAGCCCGGCACCCCCTCCCGACCCCTGACGCCTTATCACACGGTTCGTTAGGCGTTTTCTCTTTACCTCTCCCCCCTGCTTTGCCCTAACCTGTGGCTTTCTATGGTATGGTATACAGTTACAGTTACAGTCTGTACGCGTGTACATTGTGTCCGTACGAGCCAGGGGGGCCAAGGACACCCTCCCCTCCGCTTTTCCCTACTGCGCCCCCGCTACCACCACCCCCCCGCTACCTCTCTTGATGCCCGGCTCCTTCTCCACCGCCCGCTCCCACGCCAGCAGCTGGTCCTGCACCGCGTCCGCACCCAGACTGTTGAAGCCGTAGCGGTTGATGACGGCTCTGGTTTGGGGGGGGGGGGTCATAAGTGCAGCAAGGGGGGGAGAGAGCGGGGAGGGAGGGGAAAGATGAACAACCATGTGCGTTGAAACAGGGAGGGAGGCAGGGGAACGTGCAGGCGTAGACCGAGTGCCGCACAAGGGAGGGCGCATTGAACGCACGGCACAAGGCTTTTAACATGCCATGGCTGACGACGCCTGGTACCGACCATACACACCCACGCTACGAGCGCCAACACGGCCCTCCTCCCCTACAAGCCCGGCTGCTTACTTGAGCTCTGGGATGCGGAAGACGCGCGGCGTGGGGTTACCGGGCTGCGGCTTGGGAGTGATGGAGCCTGCGGGTGGTGGGAAGACGGGTTGCAACGGGTTTGCACATGTGTGATGCGTGAGTTGTGGTGTGTGCAGGCAAACAGGCACTGGGGGCTGTCCACCACAGCCACGGCCACCCCCCACCCCCCACCCATGCAAGATGCAGCCAAGGACAGCGGGCGACAGCGCTGGCGGCGGTGAACCCTGCCTGCCCGCATGGGGCGAGACGCGGTGCCTGCCCTCCAGGCTCTTGACTGGAGCCCAATGGACACCCCCTCCCCCCCCTCGCCTCCCCGCCCCCTCCCCTCGTGCGGACACACCGCTGGGCACTGCCGTTACTCACCCACTTCCACGAACCCGAAGCCCAGCCCCATCATGGCCTCCACCGCCTCCGCGTTCTTGTCGAAGCCGGCAGCCAGGCCTGAGGGAGGGTGTGTGTAGTTGAGCGGGAACAAGAGCAAGCAGTTGGGATAGGTTCGCATGTGAACCGCGAGTACAGGCAAAACAGAGGTAAGACAGAGGAGGGGAGGGGGTGTGTGGGGGCGGGCGGCAGGGTAGGGGGGAAGGGCGTCAACATGCTTGGTTAGTTAGCGGGTACCGGTAGTACCGGTAAGTTGAAGGGAGAGCGCTCCTCAGACGTCAGGCCTCATGACATCAAGGGGTCACGACGGCAGCTGGGGGCGGAGGGGACTACGGAGGCGCCGACAAATAGTTCTTCAGGCCCGTCTGTTGTCCAAGGAGACTAGGGTGCGAGTGCGGGTACGACCGGGTGCCAACATCAGGGGGGCCATCAGGGGTTGTCTCACCGATGGGGTTGGAGAAGCTCAGCCCAAAGACCTTGGTGTGCAGCGAGGGGGGGTCGGGTCGGGTGTCGCGGGGCAGCCAGCCACGTGCGGCGGCCTGCGTCGGATGGGATGGGAGGAAGAAGACGGGGGGAGAGGCGGAAGGGCAGCACCGGGGGTAAGGCGGTCTGGTAGGGCGGGGGATGACTGCTGGGGGTACGGAGTCGGGAGGAAAGCGATGCAGCGGGTCTGCCCCCTGTCCAAAGTCGTCTCCATCGCTTTCCTTCCTCTCCACATCCCTTCCCCAACGCGTCATGGCAACAGTACTTAGCCCCCCTTAAGTCCCCAGAGACCCTCCCCGTAAACTGTACACTAGGTGGCAACTTAGATAACACGTTACGTGGTGGAGACTGTGTAGTCCTCCCCCCCACCCGCCCAGCCCCGGGCACCTGGATGGCCAGCACGTGGCTGGTCTCCGCATCCAGCAGCCGCAGCAGCGGCATCACCCCGCTCGCCATGCGCATCTGAGTGTCCACGTCAGCAACCGAGTAGAAGGCAGCCGCACCGCCAGCAGCCGCAGCGCCCAGAAGGGCCACACGCTGGGGGGCGGGCGCGGCAGCACGTGGGGGAGGGCGACACACGTGACTGGGAAGACAACAAGATGTGGTGTGATGTACGGGCATGTGGTTGTTGGGTAGAAAGGACAGAGCCGGGATGATGGATTTGGAAAGAGCGGGCGGTCGGTGGACCGGCGGTTGGGTCGCCGAGGTGGACAGCTTTGGTGGGATGGCTGGGGGCTCGACAAGCCGGCTAAGGGTTTGTGCAACCAGACAACACTGGATTGGAACTTTAGGGCTATGCTGCGATGAGTGGCTAGATAGCAGGGCGCAGACGCGTAGGGTTTCTCCGTCTCACCTTGAGAGCGCTCATCGCGCCGGCTCGCGTCAACAGATATGCTGGTATTGAAAAGTTGTGTTGCTAAGCTAATGTACGTTTTCTGTTTTTTAACGCTACTATGGGCGTGTTCGCCACACTGTCCTTGCGAGTATACGGTAATTGTCTGTGCAAGTGCAACATACGAAAGCGCACCGGTGCAATGCTAGTTATCACTGAGCCCTCCTATCTTTAGTTTCAGGCAGCCCGCTCAAGCATCAGCGGAAACACCTAGAAAAATGGACTGCCTCGGGATGTACGGCTACTTGAGGCCGCCAGGGTGATATTGTCTACAAGATAGGATTCACATATTGTCCTTGATATGGTGCAAGGTGCATAACTGGCAAGGGAATACAGTGATGCCTTCTGCTTGATGCTTTGCAGCAAGTGAATCGTGGGGTAAGTGCTGAAAGTTTCATTCCATAGTTCTTACTGCAGACGGGTACATACTAGTGTTACGGTTGCCGTCGTGCCTTCACGTTGATTTGCTGCCCCGCGGGTCCAGAGGTCCGCCCATACCCTTTGTCCCCACCCCTATCGTATTGCCCGAAGCTACAAGCCAAGTGCACACCTACCGCATACCTTTGCGCTGGGGCACTTAGAAGGTCATCATAATCTGGTTACCGTCTCCAACACGAAGACCCCATGTGTCCGTTTACCGATACGATCCCAGCCAGGCTGCATTATGCCGCCTTACATATGGCACGGCAGTGCCCGGCCGTATCCCTACCTCCGAAGCCAAACCACACTCAGTGCACGAACTAGGCGTATGCTATATGAGAGTAAGCGAGCGAGATCCTATACCATCGTCCTACGAGAGGCCAATCCTCACCACTGCCGGAGGCCAAGTATCGACACTGCCTCCCTTTACGGGATCACAGTCCCGCAGTCCTGTCGCCAACCTCCTCCGAACCCAACCTCCAAAAGAATGCCATGTCTGTCACTCAGTCGTCTAAGCAAAAGCAGCACCACCAAAGCGTCAAAAGCGTCGGTCATTCGTTATCACACAAACATAAAGTCAAACAGAGACACAAGCCACACACGCCAAAGAAGAGTCAATCCACAGTATAGCAGCGGGCAAATCTCAAGCACGCCTGTATTTACTGAGACGTCACTACAAGACCACACACGCGACCCGCTCTCCGGCCAAGAAAACTTGGGAGCGAGCCATGTGTTCCCACACCGAGGGGCACCCAGCTACCAACCAGTCAGTCAAAGACACCACCGCGTCGTCGTCACCACCACCCCAACTAACTAAAAGGCCAGCCTATCGACGCCGCCTCCTTACTGCTCCTCCGAGGGCCGCTTGACGCCCTCCCAGGTGGCGTTCCACTGCTTGTCGTAGAAGGTCGCCTCATCCAGCAGGCCCTTGAACTTCTCAATATCCTCGCTCTTGCGCACCAGCAGCACGCCCAGCACGCACGCAAACAGCGCCAGCTTACCCAGGAAGGAGCTCTGCTGGTCCACCAGCCCCGCGCCCGTCAGCTGGTCCACGAAGAGGCCCAGGATGTAGCCCACCATGGCGGCGCGGCCGTTCAGCTTCTCAGCCTGCATGGTGGAGAGGGCGGGTGCGGGTGTGGGGGAACGGGTGGGTGCGGGGGAAGGAGGGGGGATGTGTGGTGTGCAAGGGGGGTTCATGGAGTTGGGGATGGGGGCGACAGCACACGTGGCTGCGTAATGAGCTAAGGCTACGGGGAACGGGGCGGTGGAGCTGTTGTGCAAGGAAAGGCTGGGCACTTGGAGGCTGTGATGTGGGGTTGGAAGAAGCGTTGAGCAGAGAAGCAGCTGTTGGGGAGAAGTGGCGGTCCTTGGTAGTGTCCGTTATGGTGGTTAGGGCCAGGTGTGGGCATGTGGTAACTGCTACACGGGGCGGGTTAAGGACTACCTAGACTACGTGATGGAAGGAGAGGTTACAGCAGAGCCAAACAAAGCGTCTGTGCGCCAAGGGCTGGATCAGCGGGGCGAGCTGCTTACCTCGGGCAGGTGGAAGCGCTTGACCCAGGCCCACCAGGGGATCTCGCTGGTGTCAAAGTTGACGGGCTCCTCGTTGATGGAGGGGATGGGGGTATCCTCCAGCAGCTTGCGGCGGGCCATCTCGGCATCGATCACCTGGTAGGCGCATCAGGCAGGGGCAGCATAGAGGGATAGGCAGGATGATGTAGATCGTGGGCGGGATGTGCGGTAGGGGAGGTCCGTTGGATTTTAAGGACTGGGGCAACGCTCGGGGGCGTTAACAAGCAAGAAGAGGTGTACCATGGGACATGCACGCAAATCAGAATGTGGAGTTCATTATCACAGCTTATCACAAACTTCTTAATCACAACTTTCCGTGGTGAGGTTAAGCGTTAACCTGTGCGTTAACCTGTGCAACGCCAGGAAACATGAAGATATTAGCAAGCGGTGTCGGGAAGCAGCGAGATCTTCGCACCTTGTCCCAGTCAACTTCGCCCTGTGCGTTCTTAAACTGGTTAAGGTCCCAGCGTCCGCCGATCCAGCGGTCGTCGCGGAAGCGGCCGTCCACGATTTGTAGAATTGTGGCAGGAGTGCTTGCGCCTACTGCCATGGCGCGAGCCTTACCACCAGCATCCTAATGCCAGCAAATAACGGCGGAGGCGGGACGGCGTTTACAATTTGAATCGGAAAGAGGCTTGCGGAGACCCATGCAAGCAAAAATCTCCCAACTTGATCTGGACTGCTTCAATGGGCGGTAGATAATCTGAAAGGCTAGAACGACAAATTTACTTGCCTTTCCAGCGGCCTGGTCACCAGAGAGGGTGCCACCGCGCTCCAGCGGGCTCAGCTTCCTCTCCTGCAGTCGAATTGTAATACTTAGCATCCCTATCCCTTTAATTTCGCAGGAATCTATGGATGGTGTGCTAAAACCTGTCTAACCTTCCTCTCGACGACGGCCTCTGCAGTCGCGCGGACGACCACAACCGACCTGCAACACAGGCCACCTCAAGCGGATCACACCTCTTTTCGTTGGGCATCATATGTATTGTTGCTGATGTGATGTGGGCTCACCGGTTGCAGCCATTGGGCCTCGACGCCCTGAAGGCGGCACCGCGAGCACGGTTGAGCAAGGTAGTCTGCATTGTGAGCAGTACGTGAAATGGTCCACTGGGCTAAGCAGCTAAAGCAACAGCGGGACAAATGCTTGTAGGCAAAGCGTGTTGATCTTCACGCAAGATGGATTTACGGCACGGTGCACGACGGTGTCGTACCAAGCGATGGACCCCTTGGACGTGTGAGCACGGCCCTGCCAGGTGCATGGCAACATCTGTTAGGCAATTGCTGTATGACAAGACTGCCTTTTCTTGTCACAAGAAGACTTTGCCGTCTACATAGAGCATAACTTCCGAAGATAACTCTTTTAGTGGCATTTAATCTTTACCTAATACCAGGGTGCTAAAATAGTAGTAAAAGGAGGCCTGGACACCTGCTAAGCGGTGAAATGGCCCGGAACCGGTAGGTCTGGGTATGAAGGGCTCTCTTGGGGCAGCTTTTGCTCCATTACGATCACGCTTTACCTTATAGAAGGTAATCGGTGTTGGGGCTTGACGGGAGCTGGCGGCGTCTGCCTTGTGTCTAATGCCTGGACAAAGAGCCTATAAGACAGCGTACATGCTATTTTGTAAACTATACTCTGATCAATTTGCGTTTCAACTTTTGGTGTTCAGGGCGCAGGATATGGAGGAGGATGAGGAGGTCAAGTTTGAGACGTCAAAGGGTGTTAAAGTGTACAATACATTCGATGCTATGGGGCTGAAGGAAGAGCTGCTCAGAGGCCTTTACGCCTATGGCTTCGAGAAGCCATCGGCCATCCAGCAGCGGGCTGTCCTGCCGATCGTGCAAGGCCGTGACGTAATTGCCCAGGCGCAATCAGGCACGGGCAAGTCGTCAATGATCTCAGTCTCCACGTGCCAGCTGGTCGACGTCACGATGCGCGAGTGAGTGATCGACGAGCAGCCACTGGGAGAGGAGGGTTTGACGAGCACGCGTGAAAACATTTCCCGCTCATGGGTGTACAAGGAGGGGGCGTGTATGGTTTGCAGCTAGCGTAGATGTGGGCCGGTGTGCTTGGGCCTGAGCGCGATTCTAAGAGCGGTGTACGGCACACGAACCGTGTAGGTGCCAAGTGCTCATCCTCTCCCCAACTCGAGAGCTGGCGCAGCAGACGGAGAAGGTCATCCTGGCGGTGGGCGACTTCATGAACATCCAGGCGCACGCGTGCATCGGCGGGAAGAGCCTAGGTAGGTGTGGCTCTGGAGGAGGCTGGTGTCCACGGGCGATACAGCGGAACCATGGGGTGCGCCGAAGAACTGCGTGATGCACCCTCCTCCCCGCGGTCAGCATGTGTTGGCTGGACGGCGTTGCGCAGCACATGCTTGCAGATCACGCCACGTACCACCAGAGCCATGTCCGCACGCTTGACTGGCGTGCCCCCCTCCTCGCTGTTCCTCCCCGCCGCTGCCGCCACCGCCAGGTGAGGACATCCGGAAGCTGGAGCACGGCGTGCACGTGGTGTCGGGCACCCCCGGCCGCGTCTTCGACATGATCCAGCGCCGCAGCCTGCGCACCTCCCACATTAAGACGCTCATCCTGGATGAGGCGGACGAGATGCTGGCCAAGAACTTCAAGGACCAGATCTACGATATTTACCGGTGCGGGGGACGGGCGAGGGCACGGGTGGAGGGAGGACACACTTTCGAAAGAATACAGGCAAAAGCAGGGGCGCCCTGGTCCCGGTGCACTAGGCAGGTTCGAAAGCATTCACGGCGATAGCAGCGGTAGCGTTGCTCGTAACAGCGCTACCCCTGGCCTCCTGCCGCATGGTTGCGGCCTGCCGCAGGTACCTGCCCCCCGAGACGCAGGTGGTGCTGGTGAGCGCCACGCTGCCCGCGGAGGTGCTGGAGATGACCAACAAGTTCATGACGGACCCCATCCGCGTGCTGGTCAAGCGTGATGAGCTGACGCTGGAGGTGAGCAACGAGCAGCGGCTGGGTGGGAGTTCGGAAGGGGTGGCGGTTGGGGTGCGTGTGAAAGACGGTGCTAGTTAAGTAGGTGGCAACATAGGAAAAAAGGGTTGCTGGCGGAGGTGGGGTCTTCTGGGGAGGAGTGCGTCTTCGGGCTGTGCGGGACAGCGGGAGCAGCAGCATGAGGTGTCTTTAGCACGGAGCCAGTGAATTAAGGAAAAAGCTATGCCTTCAGCTAAAGAGCATGCGTGTCAAACGGCTGTCCCAGGGGGCGACACGTGGGTTGTCCTCGTAGCCATACAGCATGCAAGAGCAGCTGCCTTGAACCTGCTTGAAGCTGGACAACGCGCTTACACCCAGGTCCCTGTGTATGTGGCAGCATGGAGGTCTGACGGCTCGCTGCTTGCAACAATGCTTGTCATGTGCTGACACGTGCTTGTCCCGGGTTATCCCTGCAGGGCATCAAGCAATTCTTCGTGGCGGTGGAGCGGGAGGAGTGGAAGTTCGACACGCTGTGCGACCTGTACGATACACTGACCATTACGCAGGTAGGTTGCGGCCATGAACACGGTTGTGTCATCATCATGTTTTGCCGGTGTGGAATGTTACAGAGATACGGAGAGATATGACAAAAACCTGCGGGTCGAGAAACCCCTGGAAACCCCTGACAATTCGCCTACGAGTCGACTTGAAAGAAGAGGAAGAAAACGCGTACGCGTCTGTTAGCTCTGCTTAGAGACGAGGCCGGGAGCCATATGGCATATTGTGCTCCTGTATCCATCACGGTGTTCCCACCTGTTCCCACTCCATCGTGCCTAGCACGGTCCTTACATGCGCCCAACTCTGTCCCTGCCTTCCCGCCCCCCACCAGGCGGTCATCTTCTGCAACACCAAGCGCAAGGTAGACTGGCTGACGGAGAAGATGCGGCAGAACAACTTCACGGTGGCGTCCATGCACGGCGACATGGTGCAGAAGGAGCGCGAGGCCATCATGGGGGAGTTCCGCTCCGGAGCCGCACGCGTGCTGATCACCACGGACGTGTGGGCTCGCGGTCTGGACGTGCAGCAGGTGTCGCTGGTGATTAACTACGACCTGCCCAACAACCGTGAGCTCTACATCCACCGCATCGGCCGCTCGGGTCGCTTCGGGCGCAAGGGTGTGGCCATCAACTTTGTGCGCAACGATGACATCCGCATCCTGCGTGACATTGAGCAGTACTACTCCACACAAATAGATGAGATGCCCATGAATGTGGCGGAGCTAATTTGAAGCGGGATAGGGCTGCGCTGATTTGAAGGGACGGGTATGGTTTAGGCTGACGTTGTGTTGACAAGTGGGCGGTGTATGTGGCTCAGTGGACGACAGCTTCGGAGCTGGTTCCCTTTAACGCACTAGAGCCTAGGGTTCTAACTAGCAATGCCTAGTTGTTGAGTTGCAAGTTTCTGGAAGTTACTCCTGCGGACTAACTAGTTGGTTTTGTGGCATTCTGGCCGGGCACAATTGTGGATTATGGCTGCGAGACAACAAATAGTGCCTATCAGTATCACAACACGGCGGAATAGCCGTGGAAACAAGTCTGAGAGCATAAAATGCGAACAGATTGTCGTACATCGTCACAAGAACCTGCCTTATCTACCGATAAACCAGCGCTTCTTGTACTCGTACATACAATTGATGTAACCTAAACATGGCCCCGGTGCCGATACACCAGTAGCCTCCGAAAACCAGAGCCACCTACACCGATCCCCTCTCTACTTGGCGCACACAACTACCCCAACAACCCTTAGCCGCCCCGCTAATCGGCTTAGCTCTACAAAACCTGCGCCCTACCCAGAAAAATGGGCTACGAACACACATCGGTAAAGATAGTTAATTGCCTCCATGGCCGGTTGCAACACCCTAGGCCACGAGCCACCGGACCTTGAAAGCAATAACCTGACTGGCTGGCTAGGCTGCCCGCTGTAGGCGTGTTAGGGGGGTACGAGCCGTGATGGCCCTGTGCGTGGCGCCGTCTTCCCGTACGTATGCAAATTTAAATACGTTGTTGGTCCTCCAGCGCGCTAGCTTCTGCATCTCCGCTCGGTCTGCGCCTCCTTGCACTAGGGCGGTGGCGCCGCCCCGCCGAAGAACGTGGGGGCATAGGTCGTGTCGTACGCCTGCCTGCTTGCAGAGCTCTTTGAGCTTGTCCCGGAACTGCCTGTACAGCAGTGGGTTGATGACGTATGGAAGCGGCGTGGAGATCTCCTCTGCCCAGTCGCCATAAATGCGCAGCAAGTCTGTGGGTACTAGGATATGGGACAGGTCGTCGAACCGAAGGAGTCCGCAGAATGCCAGGATCGCACAGGTCACTACCATGTGGGTGAGTAATGGGGTGTTTTGCTGGAGGTGTTGCTTCGCTAGCCGCTCAACCTCCTCCGCAGTGGCTATCCCTAGGTTACGCTGCTTCGCCTGAAGAGTGCGACGTGCCACCTCAAGAGCGTTTGCACACAGGCTGTGTGCGCTTGGCGACTGCAGCCCGCCAGCTCGTAGAATGCCGAAGTGGATGCGCTCGCTCGCTTAACGGCTGCTGGCCCGATGTTACGGTCTGCTGCTGCTCTGCGAATTTCTGTCAGGAACGCCGCTGCCACGACTGGGTCTTGCCCCAGGGGCGACTCTCGTACTTTCGAGCAGAAGGCTATCCAGCGGCGAATGTCTGGTACGTACTGCTGCCAAGTGGTGAGAGCGCAGCTGAGGGCTGCGTTGTCGATCATGGTGCTGATCAACGCGCGCAGATGTGGGTGGCGGTTGGTGGTGGCTTGGCACAGTACGCCCGTCACGATGGCTATTGTCGCAAGCACATGTAATTACAAGTGGAGACACACCTGCGCAATGTGTTTGCAAACCGCATAATTCCTAACCTGCAGTGGCAGGCGTACATATCCAACAACTACTTGCGTCACAAACAACATATAACTCAGCAGTCGCAAATACCACTCTTTAGCCACGTCAAAACCCGCGTCGGTGTTTGGCACCAGTCATCCAAGCGTCACGCAGTTGTCATACGCTCCTGCACACGCTCCTGCCAGTAAAAGGCATCACCCGCTCATGCTCTATAGCTTTAACCCGATTGCCATGGCACAGCGGCCCCTGGTAGTCCGCCAGAGCCGTCTACATGCGGTCATGGATCTCGGGGTACTGCCAGGGGCAGAAGCCCTTGCCGTCGATCTCCGTCGCGGCGCCCACCTCCTGCTGCTGCCGCTTCAGGTACTCGCCGTTGAACTCCCAGTAGGGCACCTTGGACAGCTCCAGCTCGCCTGCATACACATTTGCACCGCAAGGAAAAGATGAGAGGCGCAGGCGAAGAAGCGGGCCATTCCCAATGCCATTAAGCACCCCGCTCCCTCGCACAACCCACACAGCTGCCTCCCTGCACCGCACGCAAAGCACTATAGCACGCCTTAACGCTGGCCTGCTTACCCTCGTAGAGCTTGGGGTCGTCCACCCTGCGGAACCAGCGAGGCGCCCAGGCGTCCGACCGCTTCTCGCGCTCTCGCCGCTCCGCGCGCTGCATCTCCTCCAGCCGCACCTTCTCGCTGCCCGCCGCCATCATTTCACCGGCAGCCAGCTTGGAGCGGTCGGGGCGGCGCCTACGGGCAGGTGAGGTCGAGCAATACAACAAAGCCGTCAAGTTTCACCCATGGAGCAGTCTTTAACGTGATATTCAACACATGACAAGCTCGACGCATACCACAAATTGGCAGGCCTTACCTGCTGTCGCTTGGCAGTGGCGCACGGATGCCCTCGCTGCTGTTGAGCTTGTGGGCGAACTTAGTGAAAGAGTAGTAGTCACCCACGGGCTTGGGCGTGCAGGTCCACAGGCGCTTCACCTCGGCGCCGGGCAGCGGGGCGCCGGTCTCGTCGCAGCGCACCGCGTCCACGTACTGGTTCCACTTGCCGCTCACCTTCACGCGCTTCACGCCGTCTGAGAGCAAAGGAGCAGGCGAACCGGGGACAGAGTAAGACCCAAACCAAGGGCATCTCTAGCTTGTTGGGTGTCCTTGACGGGTTGGATATGGGCGTTATAGAGGACAGCTCTTGCCGCAACAAATGTCCTCACATCTACAACACGCAGCATATGCCTAAACCAGCGCGCAGCTTCCTTTAGTAGCCCTTCTACCGCTTACCCTTGTCGTACACAAAGCCCTCGAACTCGTACCGGCCGTAGCTGAACCAGCCGCATGCCTTGAACTCCAGCCGGCACTTGGCGCCGGTGGTGATGCAGTTGATGGTCATGGGCCCGTACGCGTCCACCCAGGTGCGCCCGATCACGATGTTGTGCACCATGGCGTTGGGCGGCACCAGCGTGAACACCTCGCCGCTGCGCACCAGCGTGATGCGGGTGCGGCCTGGTTAGGAGGCAAGGGTGTGCGGAGGAAGGGAAGATGGGTATTAAGCACAGCATAGCCAAAGGGGACAGAGGTTACCATGCGCCTTACTAGTACAACCTAAAGGAAAAACCACCGCGACAGCCATGGTCAAGCGTGATCTCCGCTATTCACCCTTACTAGGTTTCCTTAGCCCTCCCAACTGGGGTCCTCCTACCAATCACGTACCGTAAGGGTACACCTCCAGGCTGTTGCCCAGGAAGCGGGTGGTGGGCGCCGACACCAGGTCGTAGCGGAAGTGCTCGTTCTCGGCGTGCGCGGCGCAAATGGGCGGGTGGTGCGACACCTGCTCCGCCAGGTAGCGCACTCCAGCGCCCACCTCCAGCTCGTAGGTCTCGCCCAGGATGGGGTTGAAGGGCTTCCAGGCGCGCTCGGCGGAGCCAAAAGGCGACACGCAATAGGCAGCCACCAGCGCAAACCTGAAAGGTGCAGCGGGTACGGCGTTACGACAACCCGGCGGGGATTTCAAGATGGAACCGACTATGGGCAAGAGCGGCGAGGCTGGAGGTCAAGATGCGACTATGTATCGCTCGCGCCGGGCTTCTAGCCGGGACCTGTGGCATGCATACCCGCGATGCCCTGATCCTACGGGATTCGTACGCGTACAGCATACTGACCGGTCAAACTCGTCCTCCGTCTTGTCCGCCGCGTCCAGGATGTCCGTGTACTCCATGATCTCGGCGGCCTTCTGCAGGATGGTGAAGGGCTCCATAATCCACACCGGCACGCTGAGCAGGCTCGTCACGTCGGCGCCGATGTACTGCTGGAATTGCTTCGTGCCCCATGCTTGTTTACGTTCCTGATGGAGGTGATACGGTGATCGCCGGACAGCGGAAGAAGAGTTGACTACAAATACATAGGAGTCCCGCGGTGGAAACGGGAATCCAACGTGTACAGGGAAGGCAAGGAGGTGTTCAAGCACACGTCCCCGCAGTTTCATGGCATGCTACCGTGGGGTAAAGGTAAGGGGTTGGTTCGGTCGAGAGGTTGCAAGCACAGGACGAGGTGGAGCAATAGCATCACGGCAGTGTTGCTGTCACCACAATTCGCCGCCAAACCTGCTCAAGGAGGCCTGTGGCATCCGACTCCTGACCCTTCTTTGCCTTCTCCGCCTCTGGGTCCACAATTTCAAGATCCTCCCAGCCCATGAAGCTGCAAAGCATAGGTGCAGCGGTATCTCAAAACGCCCGAACAGCTGATGGAGGCGTCATCATAACTTCAAAAACTCCGATCAGTTGCCAGCATACCTATTGATCTGCTGCTGCGCATAAGACATCATACTGCCTCCCCATTGGTACAGAGTGCCGAACAGGCCGGTGCTGCTTCCCGCCTGCGCATCCGCAGGCGCGGCGTTCGACATGGTTTGTCCCTAGCTACAATAATTTACGCAGGACTATATTACAATATCAGTTGCGCGAGGCGAGAGCGACGCAGTTCGTTTGTGAAGCCAAGCTTGTCGCTCTCGCCACGCTAAAGCGCGGGCCACAGGTATACCTAATCGTAGCTATCAACCTAGCAAAGCATATGTTTTTCAATTTTAAGTATGTTTGCTCATAAAAGCCCGCGGCCGGCAGAAAGCCCGCGGCCGTCGTACGGCCATAACATGATGAAATTTTAAACCAGTCGGTTGGCATCATACTTCAGCTGTCGGCTATGCAACAGCCCGTATGCAGGCAATGCAAAGGTAGCTGTGAAGTCCTGTTGTAGAGCAATGACCGCTGGGTGGCCTTGGTCGCGGCGGTTAAACATGCAAAGGATTCGGATCGACTTACAGTAAAAGACAACAATGAACTTTGCGAAACCCTGCCTCCTGCACACATTTAAGCCGGGGTCCGGTATGAATAATGCGTTTGCGTTATGCACTTAGTCCTGAAGCGCCTCCGCCAACAGGTCGGCTTCAGCCGACGTAAGCAAGCCTATCTCAACCTGCGTTTGGGCTGCTGATGCGCTGCCACCACATTCCAACTCATCCGTCACTCGTGGCTGCCCTCCAGCAACGGCCTTAAGACCGCTAGGCACACTAGACAACTCCGGCGACATAGACGCCTGCCCTGACTGCACCGGCGTCTCGTTCCCTCCACTCCCATCGTTGCTGCCGACGCTCTGCGCCCGTTGACCGCTATCCTGCCGGCTGAACTGGTTCTGACCCAGTGGCGACGGCCCCAGCGTGCTGCTGATCCGCTGCATGGGCGACGCGCCCCCAGCTCGCCCCGACCCTGTGCTACCCGCCCGGCTCCCGCTCGCACTTCCCCCGTTGCCGCCCGCGCCGCTAGAGCTAGGCCAACGGCCCGCAGGCGGCTTTGAAGCACCTCCTGCCCCCGCATCCGCACCCTCAGCTCGCGATCCCTGCGACACGCGCCCCCCACCCAGCGCCCCCTGCGATACTCGCCCCCCATGCAAGGGGCTGGTACCATTACTTGCAGGCCTGCTGCCGCCGTCCTCTGACAGGATCTCATGCGCCTGCGCCAGCAACTGCTGCGTCATGCGCTCCGCAGCCGTGTACGCCTCGCTCAGCTCCCGCAGCGTCCGGATGTCGTCATTGGACAGCAGCGCCTGCGTGCTGGTGCTGCGCCGACTGGCCATGCTGCCCACAGATGAAGCCATGGTGCTGTTGAGGCTACCGCAGCCGAAGCCGCCCCCCGGCTGGGCCCCCTGCGGCTGAATGTCCCCGCTCTCACTCAAGCTGCGCTGTGCCACGCTGGCAGCGCCCGAACCCGAGTGGTATGCGTAGGGTGAGCCATGCATGTGACCCGGGCTTAGTTGTCGCCGGCTGGGGAGGCCCGAGCCTGGCGGCGGCGGCCGGTCAGAGCCGCCGCGTGTGGGTGGCCGCATGCGGGGTACGGAGTGTGAACCGGCGCCGCGAGGTGGCGGGAAGTACAGCTCCTCACCCAACGGCTGGCCGGCTCGGGTGGAGGACTGCGGCGCCGTGGCGCCCTCCTCGTGGATAGTCTGCAGCGTGAGCAGCCCGGCGGCGCGTGGAGGCGACAGCCGTGTGGTAGTGCTCGGGCCGCTGACGCCGACCATTTGCTGGTGGTAGAAGGTAGGGGGGCCGTTGGGCGAGGAGGGTTCGGAGCATGAGGGGATGGAGCCCAGCTCCGCGACTTCAGAGCTGGCCGAGGTGCGCATGTGGGAGCGGCGGGTGGCTGGTCGCGGCCCGCCCCACATGAAGCCCGAGCCGCCGCCGCTCGGTACGGGGCCGACGGTCATGGAGCCGGGCGGAGCGGAGATGGTAGTGCGGCTGGGGACGGAGGTTGGTGTGGGGACGGCCGCTAGCGTGGTGGCGGAGGTGGAGGGCGAGATTGCCTCCTCCAGCGGGGAATAGGATGTGCCGTGGGCGCGGTTGTTGCTGCTGCTGCTGCTCGCTTTGGCGGCGGCCATGGCGGCGGCGGAGGCGGCGTACGGGGCGGAGGTTGCCGCCTGGGATCCGGCAGCGGTGTTAACGTAGGGCGGTTTGTTGCCAGCCGATTGCCGCGCCTCATCGAGGACGTCGTAAGGCAGGGTGGCCGCCGCCGCTGCGGCCTCGGCCTCCTGCTCGGGTGTGGGGCCGTACACCTGCAGCAGTGCCGACGGCGCTGACACAGACGTGGTTGCCCGTGTGGCCCCAGCTCCAACACCAGCGACGCCAGCGTGGTTGTCGCGTGGTAGCAGCATGCTGGGCAGGATTGAGCCACCCACGGCCGCCGACGGCACGCTGCCAAGCCGCGGATGGGCGCTGGATCCGCCACCGAGCATGGTGGGGAAGATGAAGGGCGAATCCGGCACGCTGCCACTCAGGCCGCCGCCGTTGCTGGAGCGATGCCGCGACGCGGGCATGCCGTGTGACGCGGACTTGGAACGGTGAATGAGGGGGCCTCCCCGAGAAGCAGCCTGCTGCTGCGGCAGCTGCGACTGCGAGGTCTGCCGTGAGCCCCCCCGCGGTGCCCCCGGCCCGCCATTCGCCGGCCCCAGTGTCGTGTTCCCAAGTGCTGTCGCAGGCCGCGGCCGAGGCGGAATCTGCGAGGGCGAGGCTGCGGACGCTGTCGATATCCGCCCTGCATTGCTGCCGCGTCCGGGAGCTGTCGGTGTGCTCGCCTCCGCGCCACCCGGGTTACTTCGGGCGGCGCCCCCCGGCGTCGACGGCCCCGCGCCAGTCCCCGACGGCTGCGGCCTGCCGGTCCGCTGCAGGTCCTCCGCGCCCACGCTGGTCAGCTGGATGGCGGCGTCAGCGCACACAGGTGCAGTACGGTAGAGGAAGTTGGGCTGGCTGCGCACGCGCAGGTACCACTCGCGCGTGAGGGAGGGGTTGGCGCGGCGGATGGCCAGCGGGATGGTGTCCATGGCGCGCAGGCGGTCCCCCTCGTTGGGCAGCTGCGAGGCCAGGCTAAACCAGTGCTGCAGCAGCTGCTTGTAGGTGACGTCGCAGCGCTGGGAGGCGGGGTACATCTCACCCGTCAGCACACACAAGAAGCGGCTGCTAGGGCCGGAACCGGAGCCCTCGTCATCCTCGCCGCCGGCATCCCCGTTAGCCGCTGCCGCTGCCTTGGACGCCACGAACGCCGCGGACGGCGCCGGCAGATCCAACCCGGCTCCCACCCCCGAGCCCAAGTCCCCGCCAGCGCCGTCTGGCACACGCAGCCGCAGCGCCGCAGCCAGTGGCAGCGACGGCAGCGGCCCACCCATCCCGGCGCGCATGCGGCCGCCTGCCGCCATTTCCCTGGGTCGCTGCGTCTTCAGCGTGCCGCAGTGCGTCAGCCACACGCGGCTGGACTCGTCCACCATGAAGTACAGCACCATGCGCAGCACCCGTATGGCGCCGCCGCTGACGTCTGCCAGGTGCGCCGCCACGTTGTCGCAGAGGCGGCAGATGGTGCCCTGCAGCACCGGCCCGCTCACCAGCGTGTGCTCCGACAGCCAGATGGGGCCGTCCCAGGCGGCCAGGCGGTCCGGCAGCGGCACGCGGGGGTCGTTGAGTTTGGCCTTATTGGTGCGGCGCTCCACCACACATGCCTGCATGTGAGGGGGGGAGGGAAAGCGGGAGGGAAAGCGGGAGGGACATGCCGGGGTAAAAGCAACGTTGACACCTCCCAATTGAGTGCTACCCTGCGCTCCTTTGGGGTTTTCATCCCTTCTCCCATCTGTCTCCTTTCCTCGGTCCCTCCATCCCTCTCCTCCTCCCTCTCCCCTCCCTCCTCACGTTAGGCGACCATGTGGCTCGGATGGAGAAGTGGTGCTGGCCCCTGGGCTGCACGAAGCGCTGCAGCACCCCCTCGTGCAGCGCCGCAACGCCGTGCACCACCACGTGGTTGGGCGGCAGCAGCTCGTGCAGCTGCTCGCGACTGAACCACTCCACACTCTCGTCCTGGAGCTCAAGCAGCGCCTGGGAGGGTTGGGAACGGGAGAGGTAGGGACACGGGGGAAGGAGGAATGGGGCGATACGTGAGTGTGGGGATCTTTCCGGGCAAATTAACATGCGGGTGTTGATAACATTTGACTCGGAAGCGCATGAGGAAAGGTTAGCAGTTAGCATAGAACCCTTCCAGAACCACCCTCGCCACCGCTCACCCCTCTTCTGCGCCTGCCTGGAGATCCGCCCCTGCCTCCTGCACCCGGCATGTGCGGCAACGTCATGGAGCCCTGAAAGCGTGCCACCACCCCGTGGTGAGGCCAGGGACCCAGTGCGGCGCCCGTGCTGGTGCCGTCCATGGGCCGAGGGTGCTCTGCGCCCGGCGAGCCACCCCTGTGCTGCTTCTTGTGCGGGGAGGGCGAGCCCGCGGTGTTGCGGGTGGATCCCAGTCCGCCGGTTGTGGAGCCGAAGTTGGAGGCGCTGTCGGAGCCCGCGGTGGCTGCTTTGGGCAGCGGCGCGAGGGCCTCCGTGATGCTGGCGTTGCTGATGTTGGCGCGGTTCTTGCGCTTGATGCAGTGCTCCTTGCCGCTGGTGAAGTACCACACCGTGGGCTTGCCATTGGTGAACACGATCTGCATGTGTGGAGGGTGATGAAATGGGAAGGGTTACATTATCGGGTGAACGAGTGGGAGGGGGAGCCCCAGCCATGGGGCGATACTTGCCGTGTGGGGAACATTGACCTCTGGGCATGGCCGGCCTTTGCCGTCTTTCATCCATAGGTAGTGATACAAGCCGACGACTATCCCGTCCTCGACGTCCAAGAGGAGTTCATTCTGGTGGGCGAAGGAAACCAGCACAGGCGGGCAGGGGAGAAGGACACGGGACCAGTAAGGTTTAGAGAACAGGCAATCCAAGCTACTCCTACGCAGATCCTTTGTAAACCCAGGATGAACCCTTGCCGGCAACCTCCTGCAAGGGCTGTGCATGACCCTTGGATGGGAAAAAAGGTATGCATGCCGAACGGGCTTAAGAATAAAGGAACTGCAATGGCAAACAAATGTTTATGAGGCTATAGACCTAGGGTCTGTGTCGGTTCGCGGCAGGAAGGACGCACAACAAATGTCGACATTCCGCCGTTAAGAGGTCGCGCCCGCCCTTGCCCAACAGGACACTCCTTACATATGGTATCTCCTCGTCCATTGTGCGCTGTTAAAAAAACTTCTTGAGAAAGCGCCACCGCTGAGTACAACGCAGCAGGCCTAATCGTCAAGTGTCAAGCAATGCGTAATCGGAATATGGGTTAAGCTGTGGGTCATATTTAGTATTTGTTCTAAACATATGCGTATTCAAGGCGACCTTTTCGGCTGGGGATGCACTAGTTGTTTCCCGTCGTTCTCGTTGGTAGAAAAAAGCTTGATTACATACACGTTCATGAAGAGTGTACCGATCGAAATTGTAGCAGTTTTAACAATCGCTAGGTTAATCGCAAGGAGCTTGCTCCTGCAACTCGAAGTTACGACGGTCCTCGTACTCCGTCATCAGCAGGACTACCTCTCTAGCATCTACCTCGCAGTTGCTTCAATGCCGCATTATCGACATACCGTACTTGAAGACCGCTATGACATCCGAAGTCCTGTGCCAAAACGCGACCACCTGCGTCCTGACAAGCAGTTTTAGGCGTACGCAAGGAACGCAAGGGGTCGCCCTGCATGCTTATGACAGCTACCAAAGTTCCTAGTAGCAAGCCCTTCATGCAGCAAGTTGTGGACTTGTGTTGACCCCACAATCCCATACCCCGTTCTCCAGGATGTAACCTCCCCGGCTTAGCTGCAAGCAGGCTTTGCTTACATACCGGCAAGGCTGACTAAACGCTAACAAACAACGGAGGAGATGTTTACAACGCTAGTCCGGTGCTGTGCGCAGGCCCATGCACGCAAGGCCCTCCCATATCCTCCCGCCATATCCGGTAAACGCAAGGCCCCCCACAATGGGACCCAAACGCGCCGCATGGCTGAACCACACAAGCTGCCTGCGGGTATCAAGAACAAAAGCAATAAGCACAAAGTAGTAGCTAAAGAACAACGCAACAATGCGCAGCCCAACCTGCGGCACACAGCAGCCCGCGGCCAGCACAAAGCACTACCGGTAATCTACTCCCGTGAAGCATGCTTGAGAGACGAAACAGGAGCGCACATGACGGAAGCTAAATCACAGCAAGTCCTGAAGGCCCAATAGGAACTCACTGCGACTGCTCGCGGCACAACCACTGAACCACGGCCCCCAAAACATCCACGCGGTTCCCCATCTGCTCCGCAGCTGGCCCAGATAAGAGACGAAAGATGACGAAAACCACGCAGACGCAGCAACAACCCTCTCCCCAAACGCCCAGATGTACGCAAACAATGATGAATCAACCGCCGCCAGCATGCACATGCAGCCCAGCACAACTCCGTGCAAATGCACTGGTGCGGCGGCAGCAAGAGGAACACCCACGTGGTGTGTGCGACGTGATTGCGTGTATCTACCCCACATTAGCCTTCCCACCTATAATCTGAAAACGCAATCCAAGGAACACAATCCTTTCGTTCAAAGCACCGCGACTTGCTATTGGGATACGCCCAACATGCAAAAAGACTACCTTTCAAAGCCAACTGAACCATTTATTGCACCATGCCCCCTCGTACTCCTAAAACACCTCCCGTGGCCCCCCATGCACACCGGTTTCCTTCGGAGTGATTAGGTTTCTCTCTAACCCTCCATCCACAACATGTCTCCCAGCACACCGCCCGCCGCTGTGAACCCAACCCTTGCCAGGCTCCTCCTTCCATACGCAGGCACACGCAGCCAAGCTGGCCAGCCCGCACCGCCGTCACCTGCAAGTATCCCCCCCACACACCCTTCCAGATCCCCACACCCCCAGCGAACATGCATGCATGCCGCACACCCCCCTGCTTCCACACGCCTGCATGCCACAACAGAGTTCTTGTTGTATGGCAAAGGCACAGCAGCGCAGCGGGCACTCCAACCCGCCCAACTGCTCTGATGCTAAGCTGTGCAGCAGCCCCAAGCAAAGTCGGCCATCCCAAACCCCGACCGAATGGAGCTTCCCCGGGTTGTGACACTCCGTGACAGCGCCACCGTCGCTGCTCCTGCCGCCGTCCTCCGCATCCTCCTCACCCGGAGTAGATTACTGCAGCGGAGGCAGGGCGAGCGCAGGTCGTCAGCATTGAAACCAAGCGTGGCCACCGCAGTCGGGAGACCCTTTCCGCCACTGCAGTATACTCGAGAACAACCCTAGCCATCCCCGCAAACGACCCTACCACAGCTGTGCATGCATACTTGGAACTGTGTCTTTCTATCGCCTACAACTCGCCGTGTCCCTACCCAGGAGACTCACCAAGAAGTAGTCCGGCGTGGTTCCCCCGGCGCGGAACACCGTCTGCGCAGCAGCAACAGCAGCAGGGATGGCAGCGTGGGGAGAGGGTCAACAGCGTGGGGCGGCAAGTGCAAACGAGGTCAGGAGGACGAATGGCCGCTTCGGGCAGCACTACTACTAGGGAGGCTCCATGACAACAGTGGTGCACGAGGTCAACAGCATGACACAAAGACGCGACTAGCGCGGCTGCTATTGTAACCCACGAGTCCTGCCGGGCCCACCACGGGGCCCGAAACACACGCCAATATAGGAAGGTCAGCACCATTTCCCCATGCGCTCTGTCTGGGAGGATTTGCCCTTTCCCCCGCCGCCTCCTCCTCCCTTCCATCACCTCAACTGCCGACCCAAGCTTCCCAAACCCCACCTCCGGCTCTCCTCGCCGCGGCGCCGGCTCGAACTTCTGGAAGGTCCGCGACATGTCGTCACTGACCTCCATGATGGCCGCCTGGTTGCCTGGTGCATGGTGGGGTGAGGGCGGGCAGGGAAACACACATGTGAGGTGGGGGGGGAAGTACCCGGCGCGTGGCAGTGGCATGCCACCAGATGCCTAAAACCCCGCCGCCGTCAGAGCCTACCATGCATGTCTTCATGCTCCACTTCTTCACCCCAGCCCCTTACCTCCGAAAGGTGGCAGCCCCTACAACCCACTCCTTGCATCTTGCGGCCCACCCAAAAACCCGCCGCAAACCTCCGCCCTGAAAACCCACCCCCCACCACCGACGTTCTTTCCACGTATGATACTCCAACCGCTCCCACGTGGCTTGTTATGACGTCTGTCTGCCTCCTTTGCCACGCATGCCTAGCGCATTTCCTTTCCCCGAGCCCCACCACATCCCATGTTCCCATCCCAGCTCCCTCCCTCCCTGCCTCCCTACCGCATCGGTAGCAGTAGTTGGGCGCCGAGAAGATGGTGACCACCTGCTGCTCGTGCGACCAGTTGTAGCCCTCCATCACCAGCTGGTGCGCGCGCGAGATGAGGTCCAGCCCGTTGGCGTGGTTGTAGGCGGCGGAGATGTCGGCGCCAAAGGTGTAGCCGGCGCCGCGCGGGGAGATGCCCCAGCCGCCGCGGTCGTCCGGGTCGGACCACAGCAGGTCGCACATGGGGCCCTCGTGGGGCACCTGGGGGGCAGCGGGGGAGGGGGGGAGCAGGGAGGGAAGAGAGAAGAAAGGAGCAGTGAGGAAACGAAAAAGGCCAAATGATAGACGGTGCATTGAGTGTGAGGGTGTGGGTACTTGATACCCGTGGCCCCTGAACCCTGGAGCACCACAAGTAATGGTCCACAACCCCTCCCCCGTCCAGCCCGCTGCCTTCCCCCCTGCCGTCCCCACCTCCTGGATGCGGTCCAGCGCTCGGATGTGGTCCAGCGCCTCCAGGGTGGGCGACAGGCCGCCGTGCAGGCAGAAGATCTGGGGGACAGGAGCGGTGGGGGAGAGCGGGGGAGAGAGGAGGGGAGGAGAGGGGGAAGGGCTGGGCTGGGGCGGGCGCGCGAGGATGAGGGCAGATTCGTCACAAGCCGGAACGCTGGGGCTCTCTACCCCAAGACGGGTGTGCGGGAACATGCGCGAACCAGCGCGTCTTCCTTAACCCGGCGGCCTACCACTGCATCGTTCCCCTTTTCCGCGCCTTCCCATTGCGTTCCCTCCTTTACCCCCACCCCTCCTGCCTTCCTTCCTTGACCCCACAAACACCTCCTCTCCTGCGCCCTCCGTCCCAAGTTGAGGCCTTGTCATACAGCTCTTACTCCAGCCTCTTCCTTTCTTCCCCCCTCCCACCTTCCCCTCCACCAGCCCGGTGAGAGGCAGGTAGTCGAAGAGGTCCGTGAAGGCCTTCCACACCTCCGCGCTGCCGTACTTGCGGAGACACTCGTCGTAGAAGCCGTACCTGCACGTGTACGGAGAGGGGCAAGCAAGAGGTGAATCCAGGATCCGACTAGGATCAGGCATGGTGCGGCTGCTGCGAGGTATAGAAATAGAGGATGCTTTCAGGCCAAGAATAATGACGACGAGGTTTTGACGGGGGGCCTTCCTGCGTGGTTCAGTAAGGGGTTTCGAAACCATGTTGTCTCTCGCCTGGCTCCCCTGACCCCACTCACACTTGCGTGATCTGCCGGCTCTCGTGGTTCCCTCGTAGGATGGTTATACGGTCACGGAAGCGCACTTTCAGCGCCACCAAGAGAGACACCGTCTCAACGCTGTGGTACCCTGCAGATGCGCCACCGGGGCGGCTGTGAGGGGGAGCCCTAGCCTCGCAATGCGTAACGCTAACGAGCACGCCAGCACAGGTGACATTGATACCGCCACACCTACCTCGGTCGACATAGTCGCCCATGAACAAATAGTTCTGCAAAATAGAAACACACCGATGGCATTTAACGGCTTGTACATGGCCCCGCGCAGGGGCAGTTTGGCGCGTTAACACATCCAGCATTCCGGGGGCTTCAGTCGCGAGCTCACCGTGTTAGGGCTGTCACCACCAATGCGGAATAATTCCAACAAGTCGTTAAACTGGCCATGAATGTCTCCGCCTGTAGGGACCAGGAATGACGGGGACACATGCGGCGGGCTTGTCGATCGGGAGCTAGGCACTCTTCAGGAATTGCATTATGCCACGCAAGTAGGATGTGGCAAGAAGCCAAGTAATGCTTTTAAAATGCTTTAGGTTGAACCGCAAACCCGGTGGATGTGAGTTTCGCGCGGTCGCGGTAAGGGACTTACAAACTGTGACAGGGCAGCGCACTGGCTGTACATTAGACTCCTCCGCAAGGATCTCCTTTGCCTTCTCGCAGAGCGCCTTTACATCGGCCTCCGGTAGCGGCTCGCATTTAAGTAGCTTTTGTATATGGCTGTCGAGGTCCGCAAATGGATTTTCCGGCGGCCCTGACGCCATTGCACAGACCTCCTAGAGGCCCCTCAGGGCCGGTAAAATTGAATGGGCTCTGAGGAAGTGTTTTACAAAACGTCAACAGTTGCAGAATTTGTTTAGCAGGGCGGCTTCCGTTCAGTAAGCCATAAAGTACCTAATGTCTTACTGTATGATTGTGCTAGACGCTGCTAGCAATTTTGCGCGTTGAGAGGATTGCACGACAGGACGGCAATCGTCCCGGCCTATGCGGTGAAAGATCGCGATGTCTCTATTCGCCCTGATGCTTAACCAGTATTTAAGCTGCAGGAACTGCGCTTTAGTCGTTCAATAGTTCGTGCTTCCATTCTCCAGGTGACCCTCGGTCCGTCGTCGTGCTTTACCATCTTAGCTGAAACTCATCTTCTTCCTTGAAGCAATTGAGCGCACGACTTAAAACCGAACACTGATTGCCTTAGCAACTGGCCGGTCTTTCTTGGCCGCACGTCTGAGATATACTGGATAGCGGCGGCTTTGGCTCATACTTACAGGAGCTGGAATTACCACAGAATAAGCCATTACTGGTCGTGCCCACGCACCGGTTATGCAACTCAACTGCTTGCGTTTCGCTCACGGAATGTCATTAGCGAGCTAGTACGGACTGGCGTGCCTGCCCTACCCCACCAAGAGCCCAGTCGCATGGACTAAGAAGGTCATTGCAATTGCTCGGGTCGGCAACGTCCTGCCGTTGTGAGGTGGAATGTTGCCCATCCAACATCCTGCCCATCAATTCCTTCAGACTACCAAGCCCAGCAGCACTCCTCACCGTTTAGGAACTGCCCACGGCATGTTTGCGACCTCTGGGTTGTCCAATTCGGGGGCAGACGCGACCCCGCGTTGCCGTTGCAGCTGCAAAGCCAGCTTCACACCCTTTTCCAGCCGTACTGCTCCACGTGCCAACCCCTCCGATGTGGGCCGCAGCCAGCGCGGCTGGGTACTAGCAAACCCGCCCCGGCCCCATCAAATCTATTCTCCCACAGTCGCTGGAGCCACAGCAACCACAGCAGCAGCCGTACCAACAGCAGCACCCACCGCTGCCGCCTCCTCATCCGCCTCCCCCGCAGGGCCAGCAGTGAGCAGCAGCCCTCGACGGCCGCCGCCCGCCCTGCTGGCCCCCTCAAGGGTCCAACCGTCACATCCCCACCCCACCCCTACACGGCATCCTCCAGACCAGCCTGATGTGGATTCGGACCTCGAGTCCCTTCTTCTGGGCCCCCTCATGCCCCCGGGGCCCCTCAACCGGCCTGGTTCCGGAGGAGCAGGAGGTCCAGGTGGCCTCAGCGGCGCCCTGCCATACTCGGCCTCTGCCGCCTCCGCAGGGTTGCATGCCAGCGCCCCCAGCAGCGGCAGACCTGCGGTGTTGAGCATTGGGCCGCCCACTCGCCGGCCTAGCGGTGCTGCTGCTACTGTGGTCCCTACTGCCACGCTTCCTGTTGTGGGTGCTGCAGCTGCTGGTGGTGCCGGTGCCGGCAGCAGCAGGGTGACGGGGGCGGCCAGTGGTGGTCTGGTCCGGACCCCGCAGCCAGGCCCCTCCTACACTCTGCTGCCGGGCAGCGGCGCTGCTGGCGGCGGCACCGGGGCGAGCGGCGGAGTGGCGATGGCACCCCGACCGGTGCCGGGCTTTCCTACCGCCAGCAGCAGCCCCGGCAGCCCCGGCAACACCCCCACCGCCGCCGCCACAGGGGGACCCCAGCCGCTGCGAGCACAGCGACCCAAGGGAAGGCTATGGCGCAAATCGTCACCCACAACACCCAACGCGCCTGCCGTACCCAAGTTCAGTAACCAGGACCCCTACGTGACGGCGGCGTTCGGCGGGTTGGCCGTGAAGGTGAAGGGCCGCGAGCCGCCGCCTCGAATGAAGTCGTTCGCCGAGCTGCGCGTGCGGTTCTGGATGCCGCCGCTGCTGCTGCGAAATGCGGCGGCGGCGTTCCCCATGAGCCGGCCCACACCCGTGCAGGCGCATGCCATCCCCGCTATCGTGAAAGGTGACAGGGACAGGGGGTTTTGGGTCCTGCTTGGGTTTGGTTACAGGGTTTAAGGGGTTGCACAGTGGCTTAGCAGTTGCCGAGGTCGTGTTGCTCTTCGCACTCCTCTCTGCAATGTGCTTTCCCTGAACACCACCATTCCTCCGTCCGTCCATCACCCTTACAGCCCCCGCCCTCCCACCCACCCCTCCCTTCCTTCCCTCCTCTTCTGTTCCCCCCCCCAGGTCGCGACGTGCTGGCGGTGTCCTGCACCGGCAGCGGCAAGACGCTGGCCTACCTGCTGCCGCTGGCCGCGCAGCTGATGTCGCGGTGCATGCAGCGGGGCACCAAGAACTGCGGAGCACCGGAGGCGCTGGTGGTGGTGCCCACACGCGAGCTGGCGGAGCAGGTGGGGCGGGGGCGGGGGCGGGGGCGGGGGGTAGAAATGACGGACTGTATGACGAGGCTTCACCATGGGGCGGGGGTGGGGGGTGGGGGGTTTGAGAGGGGTGGAGAGGAGGAAACGGACGAGCTGTTTGGCGAGAGGAGTGAGGGGCTGGCTGGGCAAATGACAGGGGTGGAGGGGCGCTAGAGCAGGAGTGGAATTGGGGTGTGGAAGTTGGGTTGTGGGGTTTAAATGCAGTGTTGGCACGCATTGGGCATTCCGTGTAGGGCGCCTGTGTGCTTGTTCCCTTGTGCCTTGAGCCCCCTCTGCACGGCAGCTGTCGCCCGTGCACGTGCAGCGTGTGTTGAGGAAACTGGCCGCGAGTCGGAACGTACTGTGATTGCCGGGGGATGACACCAAGCTGTGCGTCACATGTGTGTGTGGCCGCAGATCTACTCGGACGCTCGGCTGCTGCTGCGCGGCTCGCATGTCAAGGTGTCGCTGGTGCGGGGGGGCGCATCCGTGGCGGAGCAGATGCTGGCCATGCGGGGCAGGTGGGGGGATGGGGACGAGGGGAGGAGAGGGGACGAGGGGAGGACTACACGAGCTTTCTAGTGTCTGCCCTTGCCCCCGTGTGCAGGCGGTGCCTGGGGGGCTGCATCCTCACTTCCTTCCCCGCTTGGCACCTCCTCTCCCCCGCTTGGCACCTGTTCCACACGGAGGGTTCTCCACGCCACCCACAACGCCTTGGCCCTAGTTATGCGCGTGCTTGGACCCGTCTTGTGATTCGTCCTCCTCCTTCCCACCTCCTTATTTGATTCCATTCACCGGGAGCTTGTCGTCTTCCCTTCCAGTCTCGTTCAGCACATTGGGTATCCTTCTTTTCTTTTCCACATTCGGCATGGTCCTTGACCTCCCCCTCTGCCTGCAGACGCGCTGCCGCGGGTGGAGTGGACCTGCTGGTGGCCACCCCGGGTCGGCTGCTGGCGCTGGTGGAGGGCCGGCGGGTGCGGCTGCGGCGGCTGGGCTGCCTGGTGCTGGACGAGGCGGACAGCATGCTGGAGCTGGGGCTGTGGCCGGATGTGAAGAGGCTGGTGCGTGGCGGCGTGGGGGGCGGGGTAAGGGGTATCAGGCACGTGGTGTATATGGTGTTAAGAAAACTGGTTGCACGTGGTGGTGGTGGAGGCGCCACTGGTGTTGGCTGGGGTGCGTGCATGAACGTCGCCGGGGGGGTGTGCCGTCGCTCTTCTTGCTGGGTCTGTGGGTGCTGTTCACTTCTTGCCCGCATGACCGCCCCCCCCCCGCCTTTCATGTTGTAAGCTGCTTCATGCCGCTGCATCCTCTGACATCAGGTGCCCTTGAGTGGCCTTCTCCCACCGGACACCCAAGGACATTCTCATTCAACACATCGGGTATCCTTCCTTTCCTCCCGCCCCTCCTTATCCTTTGCTCCTCTCCTCCTCCTCTGACAAAAGCCGCTTCTTCCTCCGCTCCCAATCCCCCCGCCCGCAGCTCTTCCACCGCGACATGCCCACCGCGCGTCAGACGGTGCTGGTGGCGGCCTCGCTGCGGGGGGGCAGCGGGGTGGGCATTGGCGCGGGCAGCAGCAGTAGCGCTGGCAGCAGCAGCAGCAGCAGGAGCAAGAGCAGTACCCGTAGCAGCAGCAGCGCTGGCAGCAGCAGCGGTTACGATGTGGGTGCGGCGGCGGCCCAGCTGCTTCGGGACCCGGTGGAGGTGGAGGTGGGGGACGGCAGCGGGGCCAGCGCGGCGGTACGGCAGGTGGGCGGGGAAGTGGGGGAGTCGAAGACCAAACCGAACCATAGGAAACCACAGGTTTGGGCAAAGCAATGGGGATAGGAGGCGGCAGGGTGCCACACTACAATGTGTTGGTAGTGGGGGGGAGAAGGTAAGGATGAAGAAGCTAGCCAACCGTATGACAAGGCAGGGGGGAGGGGGGCGGCTGGGGGACAGGATAGAGCGGAGTATGGTGGCGGGCTAGTAGGCCAGAGGAATTGAATTCGCCGCTGGCTCCACCGTTCACCACTTCTTCCTCCTTCCTTCCAGCACTCCCTCTCCACCTCCCTCCCTCCCTCTTTGCATGCAACCCTCTCTCCACTTCTCTCCCACCCACCTCCTCCCGCCCCCTCGTCCCTCCCTTCCTCCTTCCTCCTCCCCCCAGCAAGTGGAGCTGCTGTCCGAGGCGGACAAGCTCACCCGCCTAGCGGAGCTGCTTGCGCCCGGCAGGCTGGCGGGGGTGGCAGCAGCCCGCCCCTCCAGCGACCCCGCACCCCCCCGGGGCTACTCCGCACCCTTCCCCCGAGGCCCACCTCCACCCCCACCACCGCCATCATCACCAGCTGCTGCTGCCGGTGCACCAGCCTTCGGAGGAAGAGCAACAGCGGAGGCAGCAGCAGCAACACCTGCAACCGCACCTCCGCCCCCCTCCTCCCTGGGCGCCGGCCCCGCCATCGTCTTCGCGCGCAGCCTGGCTCGTGCAGAGGAGGTGGCTCGGCAGCTGGCAGCTCGCGGGGTGAGTGTGGCGGTGCTGCACAGCGACATGGGGCAGGCGGCGCGCGAGGAGGCGCTGCAGTGCTTCCGGTTCGGAGTGACGGGGGTGCTGGTGGCGACTGCGCTGGCGGCACGGGGTCTGAACTTCCCGGACGTGGCGCATGTGGTGAACTATGATGTGCCGCCGTCGGTGAGCTGGGGGGCTGGGGCGGGGGGCGGGTGGAGGGGTACGGACTTGGGTTGGATTGGATACGGAGAAGTCTCGGGAGAGAAGGGTGGGTGGGCACTGGCCAGGGTAGCTGGAGAGTTACAGTTACCGGTAAAAGGATTTACGACCGGCGCGAAGGACTGTTGAGTTGCCCCCCCGCTGCACCTTCCCCCTTCCAGCTCTGCGCTTCCAGTCGACAGCTGCCTCCCAACCCTTCCCCTCCCCGCGCTATGCGCTCACTGCATGAGTAGGGATATCGGATCGGGACTCCGTTGCTTCACTTTATCAACTACTTCTTCCCTCCCCTCCCTGCCTCCAGGACACCGCCTACGTGTACCAGGTGGGCCGCACCGGCCGCGGCGGCCGCCCCGGCCTGGCCACCACCTTTGTGACGCGGGCTGACGGCGCCGTCGCGCCCTGGCTGGCGGAGGCGCTGCGCCGCGCCGGCAGTGTCGTACCACCATGGCTAGAGGAGCTGGCGGCGCGGGCGGCGGCGGCGGCGGAGAGGGCCCATGCGGCTGTGGAGAGGGCACGAGCGTCGGCTGTAGCGGCGGCGGCAGGATTCAAAGCGAAGGCGGAAGGAGAGGCAGGGACAGGTTTTGAAACTGGAGGAGCGATGGCTGCGAAGGGGAAGGCAGGGAAGGGGATCAGGGTCAGGGTGGGCGGCCGGGCGCCGGCCTTCAGGCTGCCGAGGGGATCAGGGGGCACCTCGCGGAGTCCAGTGCGGCAGGTGGTGAATGTGGCTGACCCCGCCGCCGCCGCCGTGGCTGGCTTCGGCACCTTCCGCAACCCCAACCTTCCGCCCCGAGCCGCTGCCGCCGCCGCCGGCCGCTCGCTGCGGCCAGCTGACGCCGCCGTCAAGCTAACGCCAGCCGCGGCGGCCGCGGCAAAGGTGGCGGAGAGGGATGCTGTCAAGCATCACACGGCTCCTGCGGCTGGCGGCAGCGCTTTCTCTGCCGCCGCCGCCTCCTCCGTTAATCGTACGGCAACGCCGTCGCCGGCGCCGCCGTTGGTTCGCGACCGCCGCCACGACCCGGCCTACTGGCAGGCGGTGTTTGAGGATGCGTTGCGGCCGCTGCTGCGTCAGGAGGCGCTGCGGAATCAGCGGGCGATGAAGCAGCCGCCCGGGTCACCGGAGCCAGCAGCAGGGGCAGGGACGGCGGCAGGGGCGGCGGCAGAGCGTGGGTTGTTGTCTGAGGTGGGGTCAGTGCGGTTGGCGGGGAGGCCGTCTGGAGGCCTGTCTGCGGGGGCGAGTGCAGGGAGGCGGGTGGGTGGGCGCGAGGCTAGGTAGGTAGGCAGGAGGGCAGGAGGGCAGCAGGTCACGTTCAGCGAGGCAGGGGGTGAGTGGTGCAGGGATGGAAGGTCGGCATAGGGAGCGGCGTGAGACATGGTGGGCTTGCGCGGGCGTTTGTGTGTTCGCGTGTAGAGCTAGATGCCTGGTTAGGTATTGTCCTGCGCCTTGCGGCTTTGCTAGGAAGCGAGAGACAGTTTTGTGTGTTTTCTGCGCGCATGTAAAATATGCGCGTTCTTTACATGGGCAACAGTTTTGTAAGCTTTTCATGTGACATCACCTTTTCTGTGAAGGCACCCTAACGTGGCACTAAACCGACGTGCCTTAAGGTTGTGTGTTATGGATGCGCGGGCGCGTACTGCCCAAGTGCCAGACGTCGTGACCCGCTTCACACCGTTACCGGTTCCGTTGGGATCGCCTTATGGCTGCTAGGAAAGGGCAGGAGCTAGGCTGTTGGGTTTCTCACGCCATGTACTGTTTAGAGGCGGGTTGCGTGCATAATAACATGCGTAGATGAGGCCAACGTGAGCTTTCAAAGCGGCCGATTGGGCAACGGCATAGCGCTGCCCATAGCTCTTCTAGCCGGTCTGCATGCCAGTCGTGCTAGGCAATGCTACCGTACTGGAAACAACAGCACGGACATCATCTCGTCTTGCCTTGAAGGGCACCAGATGCTGCCGATACCGTGTAGCCGTTCCCTGGAGTACAGTCATTGCCTCATGTCGTTATATGATTCCGTCACATGCGGAACGGACACGGGCCTGCAGCAGGTATTGGCAAGAGTACTGGTTTTTGGTTAAGCTCTGTGTGAAGGGGTGCTACGGACATACCGTCAGCAGTGACTAGCCGTGATGCAATAGAGGGACTTGGGCAGATCCCTCTCAGCCGTAAAATTACAGCCTGCAATGTAGCCTTCAGGGGCAGCCCAGTCGTGGCAAAGGCTATCATTGTAGGTTGACGGTTGGTGCCAGCAAATCGCCATACGATACCGGTGGTTGAAATGTCGCCCCGCTTGCTTCGCTGGTAGAAGTATGCCATACACACCTTGATAACATATGCATTGCCTGGGGCCGGCATTGCACCCTATCTAAGCATCGAGGACGCGCTTAGCCGTCGTCCTAAATTTCTGCCGGATACCGAGGATAAGTACACGCGTTGCTCTTCCCTCACATCCGTTAGAAATACATTTTTACTTGTAAGATACCATCTTTCGTTGTGTGACCGGCGCGTGACTGCTGGAGCATGATGATGGAGGGACGGCGAGCGGCGTTGCCAGCCTCGCGGGCCTCAAGGACAGCGTGTATGCGCACCAACTATGCAATTCAGCTTCCACAAGGATTCTGTCGTCCGCTCTGCTGTGCTCCTCCGCGACCCCACCATCTACCACTTGCCGGTCGCGGACGTCGAGAGGTGTTAGCTTGTCGCTGCACCGGACGAAATGAAATGGAGGAAGCGGATGATAGCAGCCACGCAAGCGCTGGCTGGGAAAGCACTCACATCGCAGATGACCAAATGCCGTACCACATGCAACATCCGCAGCAGCAGGGGGCTCCTGAACGGCAACCACTGTTGCCGGGATCTGCATACTTCCTGCACACCAGCAACGACAGCCTACCGCATGGGAACCTTCCCAGCCAGGGGCCCCAGCACGGGACTGCATCCGAAGCCGCTGCAAGGGCACGACGTCATGCCAACCTGGCATCATCGCTAGTGCAGGTACGGATGCTGCTAGTAGTGGCTTTGGTCGTACTCGCATAGCAAGGCTTTATTCAGCACCGTAAGCCAATGCCATTACCCTAGCTTGATCGCACCCAAAAGCTGACAATAGGCACCCCGTATCGCATACCGTTACGCAGTTCGTGGCCAAGCTGCCGCCACCCTCGCCCGGCTCCGCAGCTGAGTCGCTGCGTTCCCGCCTGGGCCGCCGCCTGAGCGTACCAGCGCTTGGCGAGTGGGTTGCACAGGCCACAGCAACTATCAACGATTTCGGCTGGGTGAGTGACAGCAGCGAAGACGGCAGCGCTGTCAGCAGGCAGGACGATAGCAGTGGAGGTGAAGGGAGGGAGGCTGGGAGAGAGGAGGGAGCGGTGGCGGGGCGGAGTCTGGGCTCAGGTCCTCCCTTGGTGGACGAGACGATGGTGGAAGCTATGTTGGCCACGCAGCCGCAACTGCTGGCACAGGACTCACAGGTGAGGGGGCCATGGGCTGATGGGGAATGAAGCCATGAGGCTGGGTGTACGGTATGTCACATTACGAGGCACGTGAAAGGCTCATACCTTCTTTCTCCGCACGAGAAATGACAGCGGTTTAGTCCCTTACCCTCTGATGCCCGCCACTCCTGTTTCTGCAGGTATTGGCGGCGAGGCTGCGCTGCCTGGCGCAGCTGCTGCACCTGCCCCCTGCAGAGGCAGTACGGCTGGTGGCAGCGCGCCCCGGACTGCTGCTGCTGGATGCGGCCACCCTGGAGCGCAGGTTAGGGGGCTTGGCGGCGGCGTTAGGGCTGCCGGACCGTGCAGCAGCGGCGGCAATGGCGCGTAACCAGCCTGTTTGGCTGTATGCGGACCTGCCACCGCCACCATAGGAGGATTCATGGGCTTGCCCGACTCGTGTTACACTATCCTGCTTAGGCGGCGGCCCGCAAATGGAGCTGGCCGGGACATACTTTATTTCTCAAGTTGCCCACTATGGGTCGTATGGACACACCGTACGCGCGTGCAGGTTGTGAATGTAACTGTAAACGTGCTTCTACACGATTAGCGACCATCGCAGGAACAGACATGGAAGATGTAACGTGAGGACAGTTGTTTAAAGCCGTTGCATAACATCCTACTTGTCTAATGCCCGTTGCACCTCATCCGCAAATCTACCTTCTGCTCCATGCAGCCGTCCCAAGCTGCGTTATCCTTCTCGATTCCCGAATCTTAACTAGTACCGCCATCTTATCCCTTTCGGGGAACCACTGTCCCGGCAATCAATTATAAAAACTAAAACCGTACGGCTAACGACCACCGAATGGGAGCCTTGCCGAGGCAGCCGTACCAAACCACGTATATGTGCGATACGGTACAGCGGCACCCACATTGCCGTACACAGATCTGGTTGCATTATCATGGTACTTGCGTCGCCCTATATCATCGCACTGGCATACCGGTGTTGGAGTCCAGCTGGGGGCGAGGACCTGGCGCGCAGTGCTGACGGTAAGGCAGGAATATATACAGAACTGTACCTCCCTCCCGCTACACCTCTACCTCCTACCAGCTTCCCCACACTGAACTGAACTGCAGCTTTCCATACGAACCCTTCTACAGAGCCAGGCATGCCTAAGACCTAAATGGTCTGAAGATTCCATGAAGACAGAACGAAGAGAGGGGAGTCAAGATGTATACAAACTAGAAGATAACCACTGCTTGCTTAGTTAATCACGAACCTACCACGCTAGGCGGTGTGCGCTGTTGGCGCACATTTCGTCACGTAAATCATTGCCCCCTCTTCACATGCACGAGGGTTTCCTCCATCCTTCCTTAAGCATTCTCCAGCCTGCCAGGTGCTGTAGCACCCCGTCCTGCACGGTCCCAGATAATAACCCACATCAAACCTGCCAAGTCGTACGCCAAGCTATGCGCATGTAGCTACTAGACTGAAATCCTGCTGTACTGTATGCAGCACGCAGGCTGGGCCGAGGTGCGGCCATATCTCAAGCTGCACTGTCACGTCACCATCCCATTTAAGGCAATCAAGGCCGCCACCAACACTGCTCCGTCGAAACCAGTCGCATCCATGTTGCTGTGAGACCGGCGTCGCTCACTGCTCTATGGACACAGTCTCTATGGACACCGTCTCGGTCTCCTTGGGAGTGAGTGTACCAGACCGCCAGGCCGCGTCCTGCGAGGAGGCATGCGCAAAGACAGGTTAAGGACACGACTGCAGTTGTGCATGCAAGCCTTTCATCCGCAGAATGACAAGGACCCACTCCAGAGTGGGTGTGTACCGGACCGCGCATGAGAACAACCCTCAGCTTTGGATGCAGCGCATGCAGCAATTGAAGCCCCGCCCCTGGCAAGCTCATGGCCATCATACGACGCACCTCCAAGATGCGTGCCACCAGCCGTGACAGCGCCGTCGACCGAGGCTTAGCTCCCGCTCGCCGCTTTGTTACCATTGGGGCCGGTCGGGTATTGCCATAGCTGCTGCCGACACCAGCAAAGCTGTTGCGCAGCTGCGCGGCAAAGCTGGCGGGCTGGCGGACTCCCGTGGCGGGCGTCTTGGCCGGGTGTGCGCCGCTGCTGTTGATCGCCGTGTGCACCGTCGTGGTCACCTTGCTCTTCAGGACGCTGCAAGCGCAGTCAGCGGAACTTGGGCTGCCGTTGTTCTCTGCGTTGTCCCCGCCGCCGACCTGCCTCAGCTCGGCCACCGCAGTCGCCAGCTCCTCCTCGGTAATTGTCACGCGCCAGTCGCACGCCTGCAGCACCTCCAACTGCAGCTCAAGCAGGCGGGAACGCCACCACTGCGTGCTACGCTTGGGCTCCTTGGCACCTGCAGGGCGAAGAACATCATTGCATGGCCCTTGAATGATGAAAAGCGGCAAAGGATGAGCAGGGAACACCTGTCATGTGGGTCAGAGCTGACTGAAGAAGCTAGCAACATCCGCTTGGCTGCGTGTTACCCATGCTCGCCCGACACTCACTAGCGGGTAGGTTGTCCATGTAGTCGTAGATGACGTCCGAGATCTCGCCGCGGTACTGGCTGCTGACGACCTCCACCTGCCACAGCTGCATAAAAAGTGGGAAAGGGGAAACAGGTGACGACGGTAAGGGATGAGCTCGTACCGATTTGGGTCAGGCCGTGAAAGAAGGCATTGAGGGATTTCTCCTTGAGAGCAAGACCCCGGCCGCTCCTGACCACATAAGCCTCATGCGGTAGGGGCGACACATCTTAGCGCCGTTGCACACACCGGCCGGCAGACTCACCACCGTGAGGAGCCAGTCGGCCTTCTGCAGGCGAGGAGTGGGCGGGACTCTGCCCTTGCTGGCCGCCGGGGTATTTCCGGAGACTGTGCACAGCGGGTTGCGGGTTTTGTCCTTCGTTGCCTCCGTGCCAGCCCGCTTGCAGATGATGTACATGTGTGCAAGTGTTGCTTCCAGGTCGCCTGGGGGCAGCAAGGAAGGACCCAGATGCATGAGGCCGTTCGGTGCGGCGCGCGCAGGATGCAAGGCGTCAAGACGCCATACTCCGGTACAACGGCTTAAGGATCGAGCTAGAATTCACACCAAACATACTACGGCCTGTGCAAATAACTCTGCCGAAGAAGGATGCGATCTGGGTCAGGTTCAGAACGGTAAAACGGCTTGCCGCACCCCTAGCATGGCGAATCGCGTGGACATGCAGCCTGCGCTTAACTCACCAGGGATGGGCAACACATTATGATGCACGAGTGCGGACAGCGCCGAAATCAGTTGCAGGCTCGCGGACGCAGCCGAGAGGAAGTCTTCCGCTGAAGGATGGGCCTTGGGCGGTGGCGGCGGCGGCGGTGACAGCGGTGACGGTGGCTTGTCCAGAGACGTGATATCCATGCTGTCCTCGGGCTCGTCGGACTCGGGCGAATCTTGAAACGATGGGGTGGAGTTGGGCACGTGTTGGCGGCCTGAGCGGCGATCCGTGGACGGTCGCTGTTGGTCCTGCATCTGAGACGTCAGCTGGATCTCTGGAAGCGGCGCCTGGGGACTTTGCTGCTCGGTTTGGGCGTGACCCAAATCCGAAACACCCTGCATGCACAGAACATCGCTTATGCAGCCCGCCTTGAGAAGCTTGGCTAGAGGAGGAAGCGCCGGAACTTTGGGTGAGACCTGCAGAGAAGCCCCGCAGGCTGCGGCTGCAGCGGGTGGCCCGGTGGGACGACGGCCATCGCTTCGGCAGTCAGCGTGCACCCCGCCGCCTTCGCTGTTGTCCTGATGGCTGCTCTCGTTGGCCGTGAAGTTGTACGGGTCGTCGTGAGAGGGTGCAGCGCTCTTAATGTTGTTCCGATCGTAGGTTGTCACGCCACCTGCAGCTGTTGTTACAATTCTTGGGGGTACGATCCCGTGCTGGCTTTGAAGGTTATCTCCGTGTTGGCGGTTCCCCCCTGCCATCTTGTTGGTCTGGGTTGAGGATTTGGGCCAAAGGGGCGCCAAGGGCCCATCGGACGGGAGCCTGCGGCACGGGAAAAGGTTAGCTCCGTTTAACTCCATCCCTGCACCAAAAAAGGCATGGCCTGAGCGCCTTGCGCTCACCTAATACGCTTGGTTGCGTTTCCATGTTGCTGTCCCGGCAGCAGAAGGTTGCCGTCGGACGCTGGCAACAGCACGCCGGAAATGCTTGCCGGCGCCAACAAGGGCTGCAGTTCCAAGGTGTTACGGACATTCTCGGGCCCTGCATACCATAGATGTGTGATTAGTTTGCGAAAGCGATGTGGGTTGAGCAATCGGCGAGTTCACGCTCGGCATGCAAATGGCCGGCTAGACAACGTGCAAACATCGCACAGTTTGCAAGGCTTCTAAACTTCAAAGTACAAACTACTCTAGGCAATTGTCATTTGCTACTTTCGAGACTTCGTTCCGCAGTATAACCCTAAATCCATAGTCAAGGCGGATAGAGACAGCCACACCGTTAGAGCGTTCCAGCTCGCTGCAAGGTTGCTGGATGTGCGACACACCTGTCACATACTCTTCATGTGTCTGGGCGCCCGCTCGTGTTGTGGGCGCCTTCACGCCCTCGACGGAAGTAACATCGTCATGACGACGCTTTCTGCTGTTACGCAGGAAGCCACGCCCAAAAGGAACTGAAGAGCAGAGCTGCTGTAAGGCATTTGCCAGGTAGTTCATTCCCTGAGATGAAGTCAAGGAGCGGGGAATAAGTTTGGTCCGATTCCGAGGCCGCCTGGTATTCGTATTGTGCCCTCAGATCTACACCAGCTAAATAAATATAGCATAAATAAATAATCGGCTTTCGGACTACCTCACTAAGCCCTCTATATGTTAACAAGTCACAAGTGAGCCGCGTACGGCGTTTTTGCTTAGCATGCTCAGCATGTGCTACCCGCTGACGTGCTGTGGTTCGGCCTCAAGGATGCGAAACTTAGATACCTTAATAAAATAACAGCATACATCAACCACGTATACTGTTGCAACCGGCTACATCACCATATAGCTGTGATTGTGCAAGCGCATTCAGCATATATCGCTGTTGCAGCTGAAATTACGCTTTGCTGAAGTATGAATGTACTGTTACCTGGACCCATTCATGGATGCTACGGAGGGACAGCGCGTGGCCGCCATGCTGCTGGAATTGCAGGTCTTGAACAACGCCTAACCCGACAGGTAACGTATGGCGTCATACCAATAGACGATAAGTGGTACAGGCGCATAGTCCTGTGAATTGCCCTAGATCTTGCGAGTTCCAGTCCGCAAACGTCGTCCGCATAATTTGGGTCGACCGATAGGAGCTGCTTTCTGTCCCATTACTGCAGGCCCGCAATGTGACGGTGTGCATGGGCCGTAACGATGGAGCCTCTGGGAAAAAACGTCGCAACACCAGGACAGGCCACAGTCGCAGCGTTGGCAGACCCGACGTTGACAACGGCTTATGGTACGAGCAGGATAAGAATGACGCCCCCAGCGGCAGTGGAACAACAAGCATGAGTGCAGGACGACCACTAACACAGCCGTCTGCGCCAGCGCGGGATCCCAGCAACCGCGGCGGCAGGGGAAGTTGGGAAGCGGTAGGCAGAACAAGCGGGCGACAGAGCAGACGGCCAAGAGTGGAGGAGGAAGATGAGGAGGATGAGGATACACGAGGCTGGTGGGAGCGGCCGGAGGAGCGCTCCTTGCAGGTACAACCATGGAGGAGGGTATGGGTTAGGGCTTTTGCTATGGGGTGTTATAGCTGCTGCTGTGGCAGTCCCGCCCCATACGGCCGATACAACTTCCCCAATACTGATAGGGGGCCGAACGTATAGCTGTACAGAAGGTTTCCGAAACCCCCCAGCTACAGGACGTGCCACGTTGCCGCCGACCCACATGGCCGCACTCCTCTCCTCTCTATCCAACCCTGTCGCAGGCCTACGCAGCCCCTACCCTGCAGGCCTGGCAGGAAGAGCGGCTGCAGCTAGCCTACGCCGCTGGCAGGCGGAAAGTGCAGGTAGGATCACTGAACCGCCTGGCATGAGGGTGGTATCCACGCGCCGTTGCGCTCTCGATCGCCTTTGCGACTTCTCGGCGACCCAAATGGTTGAAGGGACTGTGCATGCGACCGCTTCAGCCTAACATCAAAGCTCTTCACTTCAGCATCCTACCTTTCACAAGCGCCCATTTGATTCCCCCGACGCCTACGCTTACCGTATCCACGCTACCTCCTCACAACCCAGCCATCCCACCCGTCCCTTGCTCCTCCCGTCCCCCGTCTCCTCCCTCCTCTCCCCCCCTCTCCTTCTTCCCCCTCAGGTTCAGGAGCTGGCTCGCGAGCTGGACGTGGACCGCTCCGTGGTGCTGGCCTGGATCAAGGAGTTCTCGCTGCGGCCGCAAAAGTGAGGGTCGGCAGCCACACCCGGGATCTGGGCAGGGGCCATGCACCCACTGGGTCTGGGCTGTTTTCGGAGGCGGGTTGCTTGGGGCCGGGGAATCCCAGTGGGCTTGGTTTGAGGTTGGAGTCCAGGGTCTGAGCCGCAGAGAAGTATACATCGCCGCACCTTGTTCTCTTCCAGACTTGCTTGAAACCTGCAGCAACCCTGTCCAACCCAGGCTGAGTCAAATGCTGCCCCCCTACCCCTGACCCGTTACGGCACCATCCATCGTCCTAGGGAGCGTGACGATATCATAGCTGCCAGGCTGGCGGAGGAGCGGGTGAGGCAGTCGGAGCAGGCGGCCCGCGACGCCACGGAGGCAGCCACGGGGCAGAGGGCGGCGGACGCACGTATCGCTGCGGCGGTAGCAGGTGGCGGCCAGGCGGGCCAGGAGGCGGCCTCCGGCTTCATTCCCTTCTACCGTAAGTAGCATGGCATTCGCGCCTTGACGCTTGTTTTTGCGCATCCGCTTTCACACATCCGCTGGGAGCTCCGCTGGCTCCACGCCAGTTCGACACATCGCACGCTCGCACGGAGCTAAAACCATCATCAGCATTGCACCTCATTCAGCTGCTACTACATTCCCCCACTTTCCGAGCCGCTCTCTTTCTTCGTCCCCCCCCCCTGCTGCTCCCAGTTCGCAAGCAGCTGGGCGCGGACAAGCAGCGGCGCATCAGCGGGGAGGTGCTGCGCACGCTGGAGTCCATATACGACCGCACGCCCTTCCCCTCGGCGGACGTCGTACGGTGGGTGCAGGAGGGGCGGGATGACTTAGGACGCGAGGGCGCGGCGAGAGGTGGGGGCAGGCGTATTGTTGGGGGCAAGACTTGCTTGGTAGATTCGGGATTATCTCGGGCATGCTTTTTACCCTAAAACCCTAAAACCCTAAAACCCTAAACCCTAAAACCCTAAAACCCTAAAACCCTAAAACCCTAATAACCCTAAACCCTAAAACCCTAAAACCCTAAAACCCTATCGGTCCCCCAAAGTCATCGAGACAACCGGAGGAAAGCGGTGGGATTTTAACGATGTGGGCCGACGTGTTCTTCAATGCCACTGCGCTGCTGCCTGTGTACTATTCACCTTAGCCAGCTTTCCGAAGGCTCTCTCGCCCACCGCCGACCCCGCACCACCCACACCTCACCACCCCCTCCCCCGCACCCCGCACCTCGCAGCGGCCTGTTCGAGCTGCACCGCCTGCCTCGCGACATGGCGCTGGAGTGGTTCGCGGCACGCAGGGAGGCGGACGGCATCACCTCCTCCACGCAGAAGCGAACCGCCCGGCCCAGCCAGCGGCAGAAGGACAGAGACATCGAGGTAGGGAGGGGGGGCGGGCGTGGCCATGGGTAGGAGGGGGACACGTCATGCTTGTCGTCGTGTAGTGTACCGTCTGTTGTCTCCCACACGGTGTCTTCCGTGCGCCTTGTGTATTACCGCATGCACTGCAAGCTTACTACTTAGCAGGGAGGTCCTGACAACACGACGTGTTGCGTTGCAGGGTGCTTTCAGCAGCAGCGGCGATGGCCCCGCCAATGACGCGCCCGAGTCCTCGGGCCTGCTGGGGATGCTGGGCGGTGCAGGGCCGGGCAAGGCAGCCGAGAAGGGTGCGGGGCAGCAGCCCGCCGAACCCAAGGTGAGTTGCGAGTTGTTTGGGGGAGTCAAGGGAAACCTGCACACGTCTAAGGTCGCTTGTCACCCTCGTTCCCGCTCGAGTAGGCAAATCCGTTCGTTGAACCCCAGGGTCTTCCGCTCCTCTCCCTTCCATGGTCTGGACGCTCAATTGGCGTATGAACCCGCTCCGTCTCCTCCGTCTCCCCCGTCTCCCCCTCGCAGGTTGTGCGGCTGCGGCCTCAGGACATGGCTGCACTGCGCTCCTCCATGCCCAGCCCCAACAAGCACAAGGGGCGCCAGCGGGCGGAGCAGCTGGACATCAAGACAGGTGCGCGGGGGGGGGTGGCATTGAACGAGGGAGAGAGGGAAGGGGGAGAATTCGGCACCTATCCCAACTGCTTGCTCTGTTCTACTCAACTATACACTTGCCCTCCACTAAACCATCCCTTCACAGAAGCCCAATTCCTACCGGTACTTCCCTCGCCCCTCCACGCCGCCCTGGCCCCGCAGGTCCCGACTCTCCGGACACCCAGATCGGCAACATCCAGTTCGTGGTGGAGGCCCCGGCCGCCCCCCTCAGGGAGCGGGTGCGCGCGTCCTGGCGCTTCCGGGCTGCCTCGCCCGCGGCATTGGGGGCCCCGGCGGCGGCGGCGGCAGCAACGGGAGGCCGGAGACTGCGGCTGCGTGGTCGGGCTGGGGCGAGCCGCGGCGGCGATGGCAAGGTTGATGGTAGCATGGGCGGAGAGCGGAGAGACGGGGGCTCCTCGGATGCCGATGATGAGTTGATGCTCTAATGCCGCGTGCGGGTAAGGGCATGCAGCGTGGGGAAGGCACAGGGATGGGTGTCCTGCAGAGCGGTAAGATATGTGTAAGCACATGAAACGGAATGTGGCTTAGTGTGCATTGCTAGGTTTTAAGGATTTGAGAGCTGCGAGGCAGGACTGGGGATGGAGATGTTACCCTTCCGTGGCGGTCGACGTCCCCACAGACGCGGGAGTCTCCACCGATGCAGCTGGCGGCAAGAATGTCTGCCTATCGAGGACCTTTTTCGTTGCATCTGCTTAATGGAATGGACAAGGCTGAGTCCCCTTTAGTTGTGAGGTGGCCGCATGCGGCTCCATGCAATAGGACGACAGCCTTCCCTGCAGGACTCGACGCAGGGGTCGCTATCATGAATGAGGCTGCCATCGCATGCTTTTTGAATAACGGCATTTGGTGTTGTTCAACAGGATTGTTACACGCTGACAGATCCCGTACGAGCTTGTACGGCCCACCACTTAGCAGCAGCTGGCAAGCAGGCTTGAACACAGAAACTGTTCCGCCGGCACATCTAAACCTGTTGCCATGCATCTTTCACAGCCCCTGTGCACACCACATGTACCAGCATCGCCTCCCGCTACACGCAGCAGCAGCATAGCCCAGGTTACGAACCTTTGACACATATAAGAACCCCTCGAAACGAACCCCTCCATATGTAACGCTCAAGAACATATACGCATAAACTGGTATCCCTTCATGGCACCCTACACACTTATTACACCTCGTACGTGCTCTCACCCAACGCAGCCACACAGCCACGGTGTCACATCCTCGTCGCATCGCGCGTACGGCCGTCAGACTGGCTAGAAGGACCAACCCAAGCGTAGCGCACGGAGAAAGTTGCAGTGATGCGTTGTGCGGCAGTACGGCACAGTAGGCGCCACAGAACAAGCAGATCGTCCCCTGACTTCCCTCGAGCGACGCTAGCACCAAACAGCGTGCAAGCATCACTTTGGCATCTGACTGCAGAGTCCTCTGCATGACGAGTCTTAACATCTATACACACCGTACATCCCCACACCCTGCTGCTGACCGCTACGGCCGCTTCTCCTGCTGCTGCTGCTGCTCCTGCTGTCGCTGCGCCTGCAGCGCCGCCTGCTGCGCCGCCTGCTGCTGCTCGCCGGACACCACGAGCAGCCAGGCAAGCACGGCGTCGTAGGCGGCGAAGGTGATGGCGGCGGAGGGGGCGGCCTGCAGGCGGATGGGAGCGAGCGGGGCCGGGGAGGCGGCCAGGGTGGGGAGAGCAGCGATCAAACCGAGCACCAACATCACCAGCTCTTCTCACCACCACTTCCCTCGTAACGGAACCTGGTGATGTGCTAAAGACCAAGCGTAGCCAAGCGTGTGCGCGAAGAAGTAAATCCTGTAACCAACACAGCTTGACCCAGACTCTTGTACCGCTTATTCCCTGCTCTCGTCTTCGGACCGCGGCCTTGGTTTCTTCGTCTGTCCGACATCCAGCCCCGTTTGCCCCCTATCCGTCGGCCCTACCTTGATGATCGACGGCACGCTGCCCTTCCACAGCCCCATGACGCCCTCCGTGCGGTAGATGTGCGCAAGGCTCTGACCCAGAGACCGCATCGCGAACCGAGCGTCCACGCGTGCGCCGTACCTATGCCAGCACGCGGGAGGGGGGGGGTACAGCATGGCGGGGCGGGGCAGCAGGCCACGTAAGGGCGACCCTGTAGCACGCAAAGCATGCACCCACCGGAACACCTCACTGCAGGAATGCGTCATCGCCATCAAGTAGCACCCGAGGTGCCTACCTAGCGCCTCACCCGCCCTTCACAAGTTCACCCACTAGGCAGGGTTTCCCGAGCCGCCAGGCCGCCACCTTCTTCCGGTGTTTAATTATTCTCTCCACCTCACCCCCACGTCCTAACCTGTGGTTTCCTATGGTATGGTCTTTTACCCCCTCCCCCCCTCCTCCCACCTGAGCGACCTCTGCAGCCCCGCCACCTGGTACCGCTTCTTGGCCACATCCAGCGGGTGGGTCGCCAGCTTGGCCAGCAGCCCCGCCAGCAGCCCGCACGTGAACGCCTGCAGACGGCTGTGCTGCACACCCAGACCCTTACCATTGCTTACACCTGCCGCCTCCTCGGATTCCTCCGACGAGAGGTTGGCGGCTGCTGCGGCCACCGCGTCCATCTCCTCATCCGCTCCCACCTCAACCGGGATGTGATGGTGGTGGGGGTGGGGTTGCTGCCGGGGCGTGCGGGGAGCCTTGCTACTGCCGCCGCGCCGTCGCCGCTGCTGCTGCTTGTTCCCCGTCTCCTCGTCTTCACCCTCTAGTGCCTCTTCGTCAGCCGGGCTGCCGCTACTGCGGCTGACAGCAGCCGCTGCTGCCGCCTCCCGCAGCGCTGCCTCTCGCTGCAGCCGTACCCTGCCCACATCTACTAATGCGTTCAAAGCGTCGTACAGCCCGAACTGCAGGGCCGCGTACGGCATGATCTCTAAGAGCGTTACGCCTAGGCCGCAGTACAGCCCGGCAGCGCCGCGTTGGGATACGATACCGCGAGCCGCGTCCCACATGTTGCCGTACACCTGTGGTGTACGGCGGCGGTGGGGAAGGGCAGATGGGGACGAGGGCGCAGGGTTACGAGTAACCGGCAGTGAGAAAGTGCCGTTGTTTATAAGGAACATGCATAACGGTAACTCGCTCTTGCTTGCCTTGCCATACCATGCGCTGGCTTCGGAAAGGCTTGGTTTCTCCTCCTCTCTTGACTCCCTCCCCCCCTCACCTTTGGTTCCCCCTGCGCCGCTAGCGTTGTCCGCAGCAGGTCGAAGGGGTAGGATGCCACCGTGGCCGCCGCCCCCGCCAGCGCACCACTGGCCAGAGAGATGAGCGGGAGGGCGCCGGGGTTGGCTGGGAGGGGGGCGTGGGGATGTGGGGGATGAAGAGGAAACGAGGGGAAGGAGGGGAAGGCGCTTGGAGGGTTTGGAAGGAGAAGGATACCAGGAATTGACAGGGTTAGGAGAGTGGAGGTGGAAATGTGCTAGGAGGGACGCCGGCAAAAGCATACGAGGGCCAGTGGCGCCAGTAGTAGGAGGGAAAAAGCGTTTGTTACCTACTAAGCACCCACGGCCTTCGTCAGGGGGCCTCTTTCCGGCATCTGCAGGCCCCACCTGTAAGCCCGTAGGTGGTGGCCGCTTGTCGCACTTGTTGCAGCGCCACGAACTGTACTGCTGTGTACGGTACTGTTAGCAGCAGCCCGGGCACCGTTCCGCGCCACAAACCCTGTACGACCAGGCGTGGGCAGGAGGGATGAGGGCCGGGATGGCAGAGAGCTGGAGGAAGGACACAAGCAAAGCAGGTCATTGGAGTCTAGTTCGTATCATTACGATCTGGCAGTGCTAAGCGCGTAAGGCCAACAGAGCATGCTGGACAGTAACCGCATTGGAACAAACGGGACGGCAGGCCCCCGGCGGGCCAGCCTGTCAGGGACCCGGCGGGTCTGTTTGCGTGTTCGCATGGCGGCAACACAGTTACCAGTGGTAACAACGCCTAATGACCATGACAAGATGAGGTCCGTCTGATGTAGCTCTCCTAAGCCACTGCGTACCGGCAGGCCCTCCTCGCGCATAATGGTCGTCAAAGCTTGCTGAAAGCCCGTATACTTGGAATGAAGGCTGGCGGATTCGGATAAGCCCACAATAGGTTCCAATTGGACCTGAAACCGGATTTTGATGACATCCAGCGGTCCCGTAATGACGCGTGCAATGCAACCCGCAATGGCGCCCGCAGTTGCATCGATAACCATCCGCCCCTTGTCCTTCTCCTTGCCATGGCTGGAGGATACTTGCACCATCGCACGGCCGGCTATGCGTTGACGCGTACAGGTGCTCCCCTTCCCTTACTACGGGACGCCTACGCCCCAGGTGGCCTTAGCAATCGATCTGACTATGATCTTGGTTACATGTATTGTTAGGCGCTAAATGATGGTTGCGGCAATTCCGCGACTACCAAAATAGCTAGGGTTGGCAACAGTTACACAGAATTAGTTCCAGGGATCTAGTGTTGCACCCAGGGCCTGATCAACATGTCACAGTAGTGCAATTTTCCCTTTTACCTAGCTTGGATGCAATCGGCCGCTCAACCGTCCAACCGCCTTGCAGGAGTCGTGGCAAACGACACGCAGAATGGCACAAACCAGCATTTCAATGTCCATTCCAGGCGCTACTGGATATTGTTCTAATTGGAGACGCGTCGGCTTCAGAGACTTTGTTACAACTCTACAACTTCATTTGTCTCGTGTGCACCCGTCCCCGAAGCGCTGAAGAAGGTTGTGCGGACTATAGGATGACACAATCTGATACCGCTTAGTGTTGTATGCCTTACTAGTTTGAGTGTAAATGCCGGGAGCCTGGACACTTGTGGCGCTGCTTGCATCCTAGTCCGAAGGGGACTCATCACAGGAATCTTGGTCGCCATGTCAGCAATTGTCCGAACTTTAGCTAGGACAGGTGGCACAGGTGGGTTGTCGTCGTTCGCCCTCATACCAACATACATGGCCGCCACCATTTACCTTTACCAAGCAGTACTCGGGGCGTCTAACAACAGTGGATGGCAAGGGACGCACACAATGAACCGGGGATTGTACAGGGGTCCAGGGGTTATGTTGTATTTGATTCTATGAGAGTACAGCAGACAGCAAACCCAGCTTGTTACATCCTGGCTTTCATTCCTCCCCGCACTTCTCCATGCGCTCGCCCTGTCCCACAGGTCTACCGGCTTCCTCCTGCTGCACCTCCGCCCCCACCACCTGCCTAGCAGCCCTCCGCACCTCCCGCATCCCCTCCCTCCACCTCCCCTCCTGCCATTCGACCCCTCCGCGCGCACATGCAGTCACTCCCGCAGCCTGCCTCCCAGCCTCCTGCCTGGCCGGCAGCAGCCACCGAGCCTCCTTAGTCGGTTTCCCCTCCTCTCCACCGGTGCTGCGACGCTACTCCCGCTGCTCCCATGCTCGCTACTCGCGGCATCCACCTCCGCTGCTGCGGCCCGCTGCCGGCAGCAGCAGCAGCAGCGGTCAGGTGGGGCAGCCCTCGCCCGCACCTGCATCCGCCCGCAAGCCCCACCCTGGATCCCACCCGCACCCGCACCCGCAGCCCCCGTATCCACACAAAGCGGCGGTGATGGCGGTGCCTGTTGAGGAGGAGGAGGAGGAGGAGGAGGCGGGCGATGTGGGGTTGGAGGAGCTGGAGGAGGAGGCGGGGCAGAAGCTGGTAGGCGGGTGTTAGCGCAGTGGGTGGGAGGGATGGGCGCAAATGACTCAGTTTAAGCTTTTGACACGTTTTACGCCGGCGCCTTCTGATCCTCTTCTACCGTCTTACCTCTTACGTCCTTCCTAACCTTATCCTCTCCTCACTCCCCTCATCGTTATCCGCTATATCACCGCCCCACCCTTCCCCCTCCCCTCCCACATACACAAGGCCCCCTACATGGACGCGGTGGTCAAGGTGTACTGCATCCACACGGAGCCCAACTTCTCGCTGCCCTGGCAGCGCAAGCGGCAGTACAGCAGCTCCTCCTCGGGCTTCCTGGTGTCGCACGCCGGCAGCACGTGGCTGCTCACCAACGCACACTCAGTGGACTACCACACGCAGGTGCTAGGGGTGAAGGGGTGCTAGGGGTCCAGGCGTGGTGCAGAGGTGGTCAGGTGACACCGCCGGTTGGTTGCCGTCCCTTTCTCCTCCCCTGCTGTCCCAATGCCCGCTAGCTTCTCTCTTCCCCCCGTAGCTCCCTATCACGGGCCACACGCATACCTGTCGCCCTCCATGCTGTCGCCCTCCATGCCCCGCCGGACGCATCTCCCTGCTGCAGGTGAAGGTGAAGCGGCGCGGCGACGACCGCAAGTACCTGGCCCGCGTGCTGAGTGTGGGTGTGGACTGCGACATCGCGGCGCTGCAGGTGGACGACCCGGACTTCTGGGCCGGCATGGGGCTGCAGCCGCCGGGGGGGGCAGGGGGGGAGGGCGGGCAGCAGCAAGAGGAGCGAGCCGGGATGAGAGCCGTGGCGCAGGAAGCAGGGCGCCAAGCAGCGAATGGAAGCCGTGGCAGCAGCGGTCGAGGGAAACGCGGGCAGCGGCAGAAGCAGCAGCAGAAGCAGCAGGCGGGCCCGACGGGAGAGGCCGCCGGATCTGCTGCTGCGCCTCCTGCCGGTGTGACTCCTGTGTTGGAGCTGGGTCCACTGCCGCGTCTGCAGGACGGAGTGGCGGTGGTGGGGTACCCGATCGGGGGTGACACCATATCGGTGACGGCGGGGGTGGTGAGCCGCATCGAGGTCACCGAGTACTCGCATGTGGGTGGTGGGGAGGGGGCTGGGGGAGGGGAAGAGAGGGCTGGCGGAGAGGCAGGAGGAAGCGGGGGCTGGGATCAGAGCCAGAGAGTAAGGAAGACACGTGGAAACCCGAGTTCTAGTACGGTAACCCTTACGTCATGATGCGGGTTGTACTGCCTGACAAGACCCGCCTCTGGTGTGTAGGTATGTAGTCCTCCTATCGGCACCCCCCTCCCACAATCAGTTGCATCGCCAGTGTCTCATTATATGTTTTTTATCCCCCCCCCACACACATGATCCCAGGGCTCTACGGAGCTGCTGGCCATCCAGATCGATGCGGCCATCAACGGCGGCAACAGCGGCGGACCCGTCTTCAACCGAGCGTGCCAGTGCGTGGGCATCGCCTTCCAGGTGGGGCCGCGCATGCCACGTCGCGCATGCATGCATGGGGGGGGGTCACGTAAGGCACCCGTAGCTTGCTAACAGGATCGAGGCACATCGTGACATGGCCACCTGGTCTTACCTCCTGCCTCACTCCACTCCGCCACCACCACCCCGCGGCCCCAGGCCCTGTCCGGAAGCGACGTGGAAAACGTGGGCTACGTTATCCCCACCCCCGTCGTCACGCACTTCCTGGACGACTACCTCCGCACCGGCACCTTCTCCGGCTTCCCCGCGCTCGGCATCTCCTGGCAGCGCATGGAAAGTGAGGCGCTGCGTCGCGCGTACGGCATGGCTGCCGGACAGAAGGGCGTGCTGGTGCGGGCGGTGAACCCCACCGCAGCCAGCGCGGCCGTGCTGCGACCGGATGACGTGTTGCTGTCGTTTGACGGCGTGCGGATTAGCGGAGACGGCACCGTGCCCTTTCGGACGGGCGAGCGCATCGGTTTCTCGCACCTGGTGACCAACAAGTTCGTGGGGGATGAGGCGGTGGTGGAGGTGCTGCGAGGCGGGGAGCGACTGGAGCTGCGGGTCACGTGAGTAATGTGGGGGTGAGAGGTCGGGGATGAGTGCGGATGAGAGGTCGGGGTTGCGGAGTCGGTGAGCGGGGGTCGTACGGCTTTGAGGCGAAGGCATGCAATCCATGTGTCCAACACCTGTATCTATTACGGTACCTGCACATGCATCCTGCCCCTCATCTCTTCTTCCGCCCTTCCTCCTCACCCCACCCTCCCCCCCTTCCTCCTCACCCCACCCTCCCCCCCTTCCTCCTCACCCCACCCTCCCCCCCTTCCTCCTCACCCCACCCTCCCCCCCTTCCTCCTCACCCCACCCTTCCCAGCCTCTCCAAGCCCGCCGCCCTGGTCCCCGCGCACCTCTCCAACCGCGACCCGCCCTACCTGGTGGTGGGCGGCCTGGTGTTCACGCCCGCCTGCGAGCCCTACCTGCAGTCCGAGTACGGAGCCGAGTACGGCAGTGAGGCGCCTGTGAAGCTGCTTGACCGGCTGTACCACGGACTGCCCAGCAGGCCAGAGGAGGAGGTGGTGGTGCTGTCGCAGGTGAGGGGGGGTCGAAAAGCGTAGGACCATAGGAGACGGCAGGTTAGGGAAAAGCAATGGGAATAGGGGAAGGCAGGGTGCGAGGGTGAGTGCAGGAGGGTACGTGACGGGGGTGTGGTGGGAGGGAGGTGGGTTTGTAGCGCAGCACAAACTCCGACTGAGGACCTCCTCAGGACGTCCCGAGGACCATCGCCTCACACGAGGACCATCGCCTCCCATGTAGTTACCTAACACTGCCCCCAATTATGACTCCCTCGTTAAACACGCACACTACACCCCACTCCCACTCCCGCACCCCCCCACACACCTCGCTCATCCCTCCCTCCCCTCCCAGGTCCTGGCCTGCGACGCCACGCTGGGCTACGAGGAGGTGTTCAACGTGCAGCTGCTGGCCTTCAACGGCACCCGCGTCACCAACCTGGCGCACCTGGCGCACCTGGTGGGGGCGGCGCTGGCGGAGTGGCAGCAGCAGGAGGGGGGGCAGGCGGGGCAGGGTGGCAGCGACGGAGATGGTACTGCTGCTGCTGCTGCTGCTAGTGGCAGCACCAGCGGCGGCTTCCTGCGGTTCGACCTGGACTACCATGAGGTGCTGGTGCTGGAGGCGGAGGGTGAGGGGGGTGGGGTGGGGGGCGGGGCGGTGAGAGCGAGAGGGACGTGGTGTGGCTAGGAAGGGAGGAGCGGATAGGGGCAAGCAGCGGGCTGGGAGGGAACTGTGGAAAGGGGGCGTAGGAAGGGGACACACGTGGAGAGGTGGGGATGGGGAGGGGTTCCCTGCGTTACAGCTACCTGCGCAGCTGTCCCTCTTATCCCTGAACACACGCGCTGCAATGACCCAGGGAACGCGAACTGCCCTTTCAGCGTCCTACCGTATCCGCTACTCCTTCCCTGCCGGTTCCCCACCCGCCCTCGGTCCCCGCGCAACTCTCCGCCCGCACCCGCACCCGCACCCACAGACGTGCTGCGGGTGACCCCGGAGGTGCTCCGATCGCACTCCATACCGTACGACATGTCACCGGGCTTGAAGGAGGCGCTCCAGCGGCGGCAAGACATGGAACAACTGCAGCAGCAGGAGGCAGGGAGGGGGGCGGTGGGTGCGGTAGCGCAACCCGGCGAGGGCGGTAGGGCGTAGTGTGTTCGGACGAGCGGGGTTATGTTGTCGTGTTGCGGCGTGCTGTTAGCCATGCCGATAGTAGCAGTGGAGGGCGGGAGAAGGGGAGTGTGAGCGAGAGTGAGGAGCGGTTGCTAAGCGTGGGGAGGAATGAGGAGCTGTGATCGGAGTTTTAGCCGGACTCGTTTTGTATGTTTCTATTGGAATTCTGCTTACGTTGCTTCTGAGGGGCACTTGAGGGGCAGCCGAACCTATGCCTTGCTCTTATGCGTGTTGGGTGAGGAGAAAAGGGAGAGCGTGGTGGTGATGAGGGGAACGTGAGCGTACGGCTAACATGTTTACACAAACCAAGAAGCCTTAAGCCGGCACCAGAATTGGAAACAACTAGTGCATGCTGCCCTGCGCGTCCGTTGCGGCTGCTTTTCCAAACCAGCGGGCCCGCGGTCATGTTTCCAGCCTGGCCCCCGCCCTGCAGACATAACGTGACCTGTCTGTCTAACGCCTGTGAATCAGTGACGATCCCGTAGCCAGGATGGAACGGCACCTCCCATCACCTCCCTAACGACTAGGAAGGCCGCCTTCGGCGGGAGCTACCCGTAGCTCGCGGGAGAGAGCTGGACCAAGAGTAGAGATGGGAGGTGATGCCGAGAAGGAAGACGAAGTTGCACACATGTACAGCGTGGGGTGCAGAAGAATGCTTGAATCACAGACAATGGCTGCTAGCATATGCAAACGGGTAGGAAGAACAAACGGCGTAAGGGAGGCCACAGAAACACGTAGCATATCGATACATACAGATGGTGAAGTGCAAACCCCCCCCTACCCGCCCGAATACTGGTGCTCGTTTGTATACCGGTATGCGCATGCCGTGCCGTGCCCTGCCGAAGTACCGGCACCTGTGCGTTAGTGTAGCGTACTGATCCTGCTACACATCTCATCAAGCCCCTCGCGATGCCCGAACACTCCGCCGTGCTTGTCGTACTGCTGTGGCTCGGATGGTATGCCAGGGGGAGGGGGTCATACCTGCAGCAACCCTCTTGTTGGTGCTACTGTTGTTGTCGTTCTGTTGTAGCTCTTCTTCAAAATGTGCTGGTTCGTGTTGTTGTGCCTAGTTAAAGCAGTGGACGCATGTGACGCAGATACAGCATATCTGCCGGAACACCTGTTTGCCGTACCTAGCTAGCAGTGCTTATTGGTCGCAACCCACAACAGTGAGCAAAATTACTACTGTTTAGTCACAATTGTACAGGTTCTGATCTGCACATTTACAAAAGCAACACCTTTCCAAGCGCGATATAGCTGTTTGCGGCTGCTTGAGGCTGCTTTTGCCGACTGCTGGCATGGCAGCTGTACTGGTATATACCCAGAGGAGAATGGCGCATATAGGAAACAAGCGGTTAGGAGCGCGCGCAGCAGTCCACTCGCTCCTCAGAGCGGGGCGCTGCAGCTAGGGCAGGCGACCCGTGGTTCCGCAGGGGGCGCCCAGGCAGCAGCAAAGAGGACAGCTGGAGCCAGCAAGCACTGCAGCATGTCATGCGAGGTTCTGCGGGGGTGGGCTGGGGCCTGGGGGGCTTATGGCTCATGGCTTAGGAAAAGGTGTTGGGCAAGAGGGCGTCAGCAGTGTGCCTGGTTTACACCTCCTGGATTGGTGGGGCTGGGAAGATTCACAGTTGTGGGAGGGGATGTGACACGAGAAAGCAAGTAAGCGTTCAGCGTGACAGGGGCAGGAAGGAAGTGGGCTTGGAGCGGTGTGGGTTGTTCCTGGACTCCGCACCCCTGCCGTGTTCCTGTATCACCGGCCTGACATGCCTTGGCCTACTTGCTTTCGTCTTGCGCATACTTTGTCTCCTGTGCCTCTCCGCTCGCCACTCCTCCTCCCGTCCCTCGCCCCTCTTTTAACGCACCGGGCTCTCGTGAGCTGTGAGGATGGTTATGGGGGTAAGAGAAATCTGCAGAAGAAGATAAGGTCAGGGTGGGGTTGGAGGTGGAGTTGGAATAGGAAACACATCATGCTGTGTCCATGTGCGCTCGGAGCGTCTAGGCTTGTGGCAACCATGGCTGTATTGCGATCACGGTGGTGCGGTGGAGTTCCGTCACGTGCCGTCTCGAAAGATGAAGAATTTGCATGCCGTCCTATAGGAAGGCCAACCCGTTGGTTTCCGTTTGCCGATGTGATTAGAGGCAATGGGTCCGACGTTCACTCATATAACCCGTTCAACGGTCAGCCAATCCTGTTGGACAAGAGCTTCATGTTAAATGCCATAGCAATGCCCAGGGCAGACCTGTCGATGCGCAGTATATATCGCACATAGGCCGAAGTGATAGTTGCTAAGCTCGACGCCCGTTTCAATTGCATGCGTTGTTGTTTCGCTAGAGACGAAGCAAACGTTGCATTGCTTGACTACCATTTAATGTAAATGGCTTGCAAGCGTTGTCGATCATCCTAGCAAGACCGCAATGCGACTTGTCGTCCCGGATTCCCCGTGCGACCCCTGATTGCCCTAGTACAAAAGTATGTAAGGTGCTATCTTGCTTGTTGTTCTGTCACAATCCCCATGACGCTACTGTTGCTTCCGCCGTACGCATTTTTACATGCTTTCTGTAAAAGGTACCGAACTGCTTTTGCGCGTTCCTCTTATTCCTTACAATTAAACAACATCATCATGCTGGTATTATTGTTGGACTCTGCCGTCCTTTGGACAGGTGCCCCGTTGCTGGCAACCACGTTGCTACCGGTACTGGAGACGTAAGATATTGTAAGTGCGCAAGATATGCTGGATGCTTATGCTGCATGATGGGATTGCGCGCTCGTCGCTTTTCAATGCTTCCATGGCGGTCAAGAAACCATGTCTCGCGCTCCATGCCTTGCAGGCCTATAGCGGCTTCCTATCAAGTTATTGTCAGCTTCCTTGTGCTGATGCTCATGCCAAAGGTGAGCGTTTACGTATAGGATCGACGGTTCCTCTTACCTGTTGCTCTTTCCAGCTGCGCCTGGTAGAGCGCAGCGCCTCTAGCAAACTATGTCTTAGGTCTGTTAAATACGTAAACTTGCTGTTCGGACTTGTAATGAGGATTGTCATGGTACCGGTAGTGCAGTCGTTAACTCATGGATGTCAACGGTGTTACGTTTTCACGCCTTTCCTGCTTTCTACTACAGAGGTGTGGCCACCCGCAAGATACATTCCCCCGTTCGCCAGAGCCGCCCAGCCCCGCACCGCCATCTCCGCTCCCGCCTAGCGTGCCGCCTAGTGTGCGGCCTAGCGTGCCGTGCGAGACACCATGTCGTGCTACCTCCGGTGGGTGAGGGTGACCTTGCTAGCGGTGCGCATGTTGCAGTGAGATGGCAGACGTGTCGGTGGCACATGTCGTCCCCCCCTCCCGAGAGTTGGATGACGCTTGGCTGCACCCGAGATACCTCAGCGGCAGCCAGTGCCACCCAGTCAGCGGCAGCCAGTGCCCCCCAGTCAGCCCAGATGTCAGCAGTTCCAGCAGCCAGATCAGCAGCAGCAGCAGTTTCAGCAGCAGTAGTAGCAGTACATAGATCAGCCCAGCAGCAGTAGGGGCAGCTGAGTCGACAGCTTTCTTTCCGGGGGACGCACGTGTCTTGCTTAACTTCCTTTTCCGTGCTGGTGCTTCCTTACGTGTAGCATAGTCTAACCCAACGCTCCCAATGCCTCTCCCACTCCTTTGTGCGCATGTACCTCTTTGCGAGACGCGGGGAGCGAGGCCATGTCATGCTACCTCTTGAGTACCTCGTGCTACCTCCGAGCAGGTGTGTACAACCCCGCGCTTCGAAGGTAGGTCCTGGCGTGTCAGGGATCATGTGCATGCATGTGGGGGCATTTAGCTGCATCGTACTAGGCATGTTGCATGGGCATTGAGCATTCATTGGAGGGCCTACCGGTGGCGGGCTCGCACCTGCTTTTCCTGCTGATCCTTTCTTCCCCCCTTCCTTGCTCCTGCTTCCTCCCCCCGCAGTTCTGCGGGGCCGGCACAAGGATCGGCGACGGCCAGCGGCGTGCGGAGCCAGCCGCCGCTGCCGTACCGCTGCTATTCGCCAGTACGGCCCCCACACGCATCCATTTCGCCTAGCGAATAAAGGTGAGTTTCACACGGCTACAACGTCTCACACGCGTGCCTGCCCTGTTGGTTGTTCTGCACCCACAACTACCTCCAACTATCTCCAATAGTTTTGCCCAAGCAGCCGGCCTAGTGGGCATGCCGCATGCATCGCCTGGCCACCGGTGCATGTGGCGTGTCTATTAGGCCGGCTGCGTGGGGACGGCATGTTGCTCTGAGGGCCCGTTGCATGGGGCTGGAGTGTCTCCGGCTAGCTCGCTGCCTGCTTCTAAATGTGCATTGCCTTTGTGTCCCATCCGTTCTCTCGTCGCCACCAACCCATTCCCTTGCCCCCCCCCTCCTTGCCCCCCCCTCGATCTCCGCATGAGCCTCCAATCCTGGCTCCTGCGCTTCGTCCGAGTATATCCTCGGCATCAGACCCTTGCGGCGAACGCCAGCAGTACCAGAGTCACAACGAACGGTACGGCCTGCTGCTTACAGTTGCCCTTGACGCCGCTGTAGAATAACTCGATATAGTCCCCTTTCCTCTCAAGTTGGTGCTGATCCAAATCATTCATTTGCTTTCTGTGCAGGCGCGACGCAAGATGTGCGACGGCGAGCATGTCCCAAGGGTAAAACACTCCGCGTACCGGTAAGTTGGGATTGGCTGCGTAGATGTGCAAAGATCCTTTCTTCCCCCCCCCTCCTTCCTTGCTCCTTCTCCCCCCCTCCGCAGTTCTGGGGGGCTGGCACAAGGATTGGCGAGGGCCTCCGACACAGGAGCAGGGCGCCAGCGGCGCGCGGACATCGTTGGGGCCCCTCCAAGGCATGGGCGGAGCAGGTAAGTGTGTACAACCCCGCGCTTCGAAGGTAGGTCCTGGCGTGTCAGGGATCATGTGCATGCATGTGGGGGCATTTAGCTGCATCGTACTAGGCATGTTGCATGGGCATTGAGCATTCATTGGAGGGCCTACCGGTGGCGGGCTCGCACCTGCTTTTCCTGCTGATCCTTTCTTCCCCCCTTCCTTGCTCCTGCTTCCTCCCCCCGCAGTTCTGCGGGGCCGGCACAAGGATCGGCGACGGCCAGCGGCGTGCGGAGCCAGCCGCCGCTGCCGTACCGCTGCTATTCGCCAGTACGGCCCCCACACGCATCCATTTCGCCTAGCGAATAAAGGTGAGTTTCACACGGCTACAACGTCTCACACGCGTGCCTGCCCTGTTGGTTGTTCTGCACCCACAACTACCTCCAACTATCTCCAATAGGTTTGCCCAAGCAGCCGGCCTAGTGGGCATGCCGC